GAGCCTAAATGGACTAACGAATTTATGTATGCCCTGCACGCTTCCTGTTTTTCCTCTTATTTATGATTAAACATATATGTTGTGTATATATCTTTTCAGATTCCAGAGCCTCTTGCAACATCCACATCCCACATAATGGACACATAATTGTTTGAAAATTAAGTGGCTAAGCTAAGCACTTCTGGTAATCACTTTTGTTTCTAGTTTGCCCCAAAGTTTCACTTGGCATAGAAAGTTCGTGCAAGTTCGTGCCGTGGAGGCTCGACTGTAGACACTCACATATACATGCCTATACATATATATATATATATATATATATATATATATATATATTGTAGTGTGCGGTTTCGGTGGCGCGCCTTGAAGTATGCATTATTTTTACGTGTCAGTGCGCATTTTTGGCATAATTGAAGCACAAACAGCGACAGAACCGGAGCGGAGGAGCTCCAGCCTCAGCTTCTGTCTCCTCCAGCTGAAGGTCGTTGCGGGCCAGGCGCCCACCCCCCCCCTATATAGGAACCCCTGCTTGTCAGCACCGCTTTTGGCAAAAGTTAACATTGCGTGCATGCAGCTCGACTGGACTTGGATTAAGTTTTTCACTTTTTTTTTGAATGGGGTTTTTTTGGTTTTTTTTTCTTGTTCACCCGCTCGTCCTTACCGCACACAGCGAAAAGGAAAAGGATATAAAGGATATGGGAATATAGACAGCCAAAGTTTTGTGTCACGCCTTTTTCCACACAGCCCGCATCTTTGGCCCCCGACACGGAGAAAAACAAGCATCGCCAACAAAAAATTTGTCATCAAATCGATTTTTCCAAAAAAAAAAAAACAAAAAAAAAACCCTGGCAAATATAAAAATTTTATATCCAGCTGCGTCCCTAAGAATATTTCGGGGGATTCCCGCGGGGCGAGGGCGAATGGGGCTTTGTCTTTCCCCCTTTCTGAATTGTGAAACAAACAGCGAAGCGAAAGGGAAAAATGCAGCTGAAAGGTTCGAAATTAATTGTCAATAAAAGAGCGAACTGGATTGTGTGTGCGTGTGTGTATGTTGTTGTTGTTGCCACGAGGTGTTAAATACTTAAAAAAGTGTACACGACTCCTGTTGTTTACAGATTTTATTGTATTTGCCGGCTGCCTCTCAGCCCGTTTGCATGTGCAATTAAACAAAGAAAAACAGGAACATGCAGAGTCCTTGTATTAAAATCGATTGATGGGTATTAAGGGTAATGAAAATTGAGGCAAACGCCGCCATTAACTATTAATTAATTGCAGAAATTTAACGCCACCTACATATAAATGTACCTTTGTATCCTTTGATACATTTTTTATATTATTTTGTAGGCTCTAATTAAATGAAAACATAGAGTTGCATTTATTTATGTTTTGTAAGCTGTAAATAAAAGGCATACAAGACATATGAAGAGTGTTTGATAATTTATTAAAATAAAATAGCCATAGAGACTTCGGTATATTATGATATTTGGTCCCTAAACTATATCAAAAACTCTTTAATAAATCTTAGATTTAAAATCCTTTTGTTTTTGTTATTTTCCCTTTAAACACAGTCTACTTTTAGGCCCCCCTCTGAGGGGATTTCAAATCGCCAACGATTACAGTGGCCCTTTCAACAGCAAATCATTAGCACTAGGGCTTTGAAATCCATAAAATTTCCGGCTAAAAGTATGCAATAAAAATTTGGAGCTATTAAATTCCTCTTTTTACGAGGTTACATTATACAGCATAGTTCCTTAATATAGAATATTTCCCCTATAAGTTACAGCCTATCTAAAAAAGGAATTAACTGCAATTGCAATTAATTTCTCCCGGTGCATCGCAGCCACCGCCCTTAACCACTGCTTCTTTTAGCAGTTTTTAAATGAGATTCTGTTTTATGTTCACTGATCCTATATAGAGTCGAATTCCGACCCGTGCCCCCTTTCGCATTTAACGACTTGTGCGGTTTTTTGGGGGCGGTGGTGTTCTCGAGGGCGTGGCCGCGCTGTTTCTGGTCGACTCTTATGTAAAAACCTAATTAAAAGTGCTTTATTATGCAATTAAAGCAGATAATGTCACATTGCAGTGCGGTTTAGAGGGTGGCGATGGGCGGTGGCGTTAGGTTCTCGCCTTCTATGGGGTCGGAATTTATTTGGTTTTAATGGTGGTAGGGGGGAGAGTGGGTGTAGGACCTGCCAAGGCGTTACGCATTTGCCAACTGATTTTCCAAAAACTGATATTGGGTAAAGAGAACAATGCACTCGCCTTGGCACCCAGGCAGGCAACCAAGCAAGCCTTTTTCCCCCGAACTAATCCCGGAAAACTCTATGCTCTGGTCCCCCCTCTCAGTTTCCCCTATCCCCCTCATTGTTGACAATTGTTTTGCATAAATTCTTTTTTTCTTTTTTGTTTTTTTTCTGTTGGCTAGCAAAATGTAAAATCCTCACTTGTTTGTCCATTGGCGAGGACGAGAACGAGGACTCTGCATTTCCCCCCTACTTTGTGGGTGGCGAGGGGGGTGGTGGGTACAACTTTTCCCTTGTCTTTGCTTTGTCCTGATTTATGTGCCTGGTGCATTACTGTCATACCCCCGGTCCCTGCTGGTCCCTGCCAGTATCAGTATCCAGTATCCAGTATTCAGTATCCTTTTTGGTTTTTGGTCCTGTTTTCGGCGACAGTTTTCGAGTGCTGAGCCAAAACTTCACACATTCCCCGAGAGCCACGCCTCATTGCCCAGCCCCCGCAGCCTCCATGGTATTTATACAAACATAAAATATGCTAATTTATTGCTGTTGATTTTAATAACTTGGGCCCAGCCCACATAAGTATGCAGTGCTTATCGATGGCATTTGCCCTCCTTCACCTCCCCCCTCATTTTGGGGCGGTGGCCGTAATTGGAGCACAGAGAGTTAAAAATATGGGCTGACACTTACATAAGTCACTCAGCTGAGCCTCAGTTTCAGTTTCAGTTTCTGTTTCAGCTCTCTCCTCGTTCGAGTGTAATAAATTCAGCTTCTTTTACTGTCAGTCCATTTCATTTTTCCTTAGGCACATTAAAGATGCAGCAGTACGTTTTATTACAGCCCCAAGTACTGCATACATATGTCGTATTTACTTTTTTCCCTCGTTTATTATACATGCCAGCAAAAGTTTTTGGCCATAGCCATGGCTATATATATTGGCTAACATGAAAAAATAAATAGGAAAGCAGCAGTAGCAGGCCTGGCTCTCTAGAAAAGTTGCTTAACTAATGAAGCGCCTTACATGTCCTCGTGACAGTCAACAAATATGTATATATAGCAACACACACGCCCCATTCTGCAAATAAAAATATAAATAAAAATGCCGGCAAATGACAGTCATCGCTGTTGGCCCTCGTCTCTTATTTCTCTTGTTTCTTTATTCTTTATTCTTTATTAGCAAACAACCAAGTCAGGACAAATACAGGCTGATTAGCGGACTTAATTGCGAGCAAAATATGTAAAAAATATGAGCAAAATATGATATTTGGTTTACTTTCGAACCTGCTTATTTCCCATTTCAAAACAGTTATTTGATGGATGGCCCATAAAAATGTACAACTTATTCAATAAAATATCAATTTCAAGTTAATAACAGATACAAGTATCAAGTTCTGGCCAAGTTTTGCTAAGTTTTGTGTTCTTTTTTTTTTGTGTTTGATTGATGACATTTGATAAGAGACTCAATAATAGGGTAATAATAAAACAGGATACTGCAGGAGCTCAGTAGAAACCCCATTCTAGTAGATAGATCAAAGATCCCAACAATGCCTAAATATATTATAATATTAATATATATATAAATATATAAAAAATATTCTTACCTTTCCTAACCTGTAGCTGACCTAACCCAAGGCCCACAAAAACCCCTTTTCATATGAATTTCATAGAGGCAACCTAGATTTATACCCCCTTTCAGGGTATTATAACTTCACTCAGAAGCTTGCGAAATAGTGAAGGAATTTCAATCCTACAAATCATATTTATATTCTTGATCAGCATTAACATCTTAATATTTCTAGCCATCTCGGTAGGAAATCATAAAATTTTAAATTTTTTTCAAAATTTGACAAGGGGTTACATAGTTAAAATTTAAAGAAATGGCCAAAAAAGGTATTTCGGAAAATTAAAAATGTAGTATGCCAATTTAGAAAAGCTTTCTAAATTGAAATTAATGTTTTTTTTTGTGAGTCAGGATAGATTTTTGATTAAATGCCAAACTCCAAGGGTATACAAATTTCGACTTTACGAAGTTAGTTCCCTTTCTTGTTATTTATTTATTTAATCGCCGTAAGCAGTTGGCTGTATTTACCTAGATTTCATGCTGATCTCAGATGTTAATATTATAAAGTTGGGGTGGCAGAAGAATGGCATGAAAACCGATCGAAAATGTACAAGCGCAGCATAAAGTATTATGTACATATATGGGAACCTTTCGAGACTTGATGTGCTGACCTCTATGTTTCCGGTTTATATATTTTACTAGGTATTCTAGAAAAGTCTTTAAATTAAGTTGAATTTTTTAGTTTTAAAGTAAATTGAAAAGGCTTTTAATTTAGTTTGAACTTTTGATTGCACAGAAAGAGATATTAATATTAAATTAGACTTGATTTTGTTTTAGTTTTTTAATATATTTTGAATTGTTTTCAATATGAAATAGGTTTTTAAATTGTTTAAAGTATTTTGCGTGTTTTTAAAATAAAAAGAAAAGTATTTAAATTTATATTTAAATATTGTTTATTTATTCTCCTTTTGATTTATATATGTATATTCTCCTAAGCTCCACATTCCAGCTGCCTGGAATGGCATGGGCAGGGGCATGAGCATCGACAAGAGCTTGGGCATAAACATTGGGGTTATTTTGGCCATCGTCGGTCGCTCTGGTTTGGCTCCACTCCGCATTCCGCTTGGCACAGCACATTTTTAGTTGGGCGAAGTTATAAAAACCACCTGACCGCTGCCCCAGCTGCACTGTCGCCCATCGATTCGCCATGTGGAAGTATCTTCTCGGTTGCCTCGCCCTGTTCGCCGCCGCCACCAGTTGTCTGGGACTTGTCGCGCCGGAGTCCCTGCTGGAGGAGAGCAGCTTGGAGGCGGAGCTGGATCGTCGGACGAGGCAGCAGCAGATCGTCCAGGAGGTGATTGTGGAGAATAATTTCGGTGGTCCCGGATTTGGCGGTCCTGGCTTCGGTGGTCCTGGCTTCGGTGGTCCTGGCTTCAGAGGTCCTGGATTTGGAGGTCCTGGTTTCGGGGGTCCTGGCTTCGGGGGTCCTGGTTTTGGGGGTCCTGGCTTCGGAGGTCCTGGCTTTGGGGGTCCTGGTTTCGGGCGAGGCAAATTTGGATTCGCCCGCAGCTATGACGAGGAAGAAGAGCCGGCGGCGCAATATGGGACATCTAGCGGAATTCCAGCGCCACCCTGTCCCAACACCTACTTGTTCTCCTGCGGAGCTGTCATCACTCCGGTTCCCTGCGGTTCCAGCGGTTCCAGTCCGTGCGGTGGCTATTAGGACAGTCAATTTGTAAAATAAAACAATAAACATAATGAAATTAAATTTTAATCAAGGATTTGCAACTTCTTAGTGACTTAACATAGAAGGGGATAGAGAAATAGAGAGATAAAGAGTAAGAGAGATAAAGAAATAGAGGGATAGAAAAATATAGAGGTAGAGATTTACAAAGATAGAAAGAAAGAGAGATAGATAGGTAGAGAGATACAAAGATAGAGAAAACGAAATAGAGAGATAGAAAGATAGACAGATAGAGAGATAGATAGATAGATAGATATGGAGATAAATAGATATAGAGATAGAGAGATAGAAAGATAGACTGATATACAGACAGAGAGATAGAAAGATAGACTGATAGAGAGACGGAGAGATAGATAGATAGAAATATATAGAGATTTGAAGATAGAGATAGAGAGCTTGCGAGATGGATATATCTCTCTATTAAGAGAAAGAGTTAGAGAGAAGGGGGATAGAGAGAGAGAGATTGAAATAGTAAAAGATATAGAGATAGAAATAGATTTATAAATAGAGGTAAAGAGAGAAAGAAGAAGAAAATGGGAGAGAGATAGAGACGGAGAGATAAACTTAGATAAAGAGACATTAAAAGAGAGCAAGAAAAATAAGAAAAGTGAGACATAGAAAGAGGTAAAGAGATAGAATCAGACAAAAATAGATACAAAAGACAACCAAAGAATGTCAGAAAAAAAGATAGGGACAAATGGAGACAGAGATAAATAAGCATAAAAAGATAGAGACATTACACCCTTTACATGCATATCCATCAAGGAAATGATTAAAACATCTAAAATGAGTAACCCTATTACGTTAATTACCCTATTTAATTATAACTATTTGCCCAGGCCATTGAGTTCGATATTAACAATTATCTCTTTATATATGGTATACATTTTATTGCACAAATTACAGCGACCCAGGAGTGCAGCATACATATATAGCATATAAATCACTATAACGATTTAATGACTTTCATAAATAAAGCTAGCCAGGGGGCGCTTCGTGCTTTTTGCTATGAGTATCATCCCGATGACACTTAATGGCAGTCACAACGGGAATAAAATCCATGTCGAGGGCCGACTTACCCACTACCCACAGCCACAGCCACCTCCTCCTCCTACGCCCAACTCCCCGTCGGCCCCAAATTAAAGTTCCATTTGCAGTAAGATGACTTCTGAGTGTAGTTTATGTCATTTGTCTGTCAACTTGTTGTTTACATTTTAGGGCCCATTTTGCGCTACTCCAGCTAAGCTTAATGTTGCAGTTAAACTCAGCAAAAAGTGTATGGCACTTGTTGTTTATGCTGACACATCCACATCCACATCCACGGCACGGCTAGAGGACTGTCCATGGACTGGGCCAGGATTCACCGGTTTGCCGCACCAAAAGGGGGCGGGGGTGGAGGGGCAGGACGACGATGAGTTTCAGTTGTGGCTTTTACAGCAATTTTATATGAAAAAGGCGATTTTGATGAAATGTGTACCTACATTATGGGAGGCTCCTGGCCCCCTATAGCATCGACTTCTCGCCGATTGTTCATATTCGGCACTTTTACGGCATTACACTATATATATACCCAGAATATATATATATATTAAGGGGCTGTTTAGTTTACCTGACACTTTCAAGTTAACCAGAGTGTAAGGAAACAGTCCTAAGTACATATAATTACTCTTGTTTGTCAACGTCTACGGGGAAAAGCAGTCAGTTTTTTAAGGGGGGGCGAAGAGTCTCTGGTTCCTCAGTTCTCCTGGCTTCTCCTCTCACTCTACACAAAATCAATATTTGGCCAGTGTTTTTCGACCAATAAAAATTAAATGGCAACCGAAGAGAGGCGGCACAAGTTTTCTACTTTCTGAATGTGCCAGAAAATGTTTTAGTGGCAACAAGCAAGGCTATTAGAGGAAAGCCAACAAAAGGCAAATAATTACATATGCATACAAATGCCAAAACCACTTAGGCCATAGATCGTGATGCCTTAAATCGGCAACGGAATCTGAATATTTTGCCAATGCTATTTTCTCTAATTAAAGCTGGAGGTCCGTCCTGTATTCTATAGGAATTTTTGTGTGTGTTTAAATGAGTTTAAATATTGGAAAGGTGGAGAAAAGGCTAATGGCCACAGTTGGCTTTCTTTCTTGTTATATTTACTGATAGACTAGTTAAAATTCAACTAAGTTTAGTTAAAATATCATGTGTCTATATTACATTATATCATTTGTTAAAATTAAAATTAAAATTTCATTAAATTTATAAACAAACTTCAAGTGAAACCCTGACCTATGGCTGGGCTTTTCTTTAAGAGCCACTGACTGGCCTCCATCAAGTTTTCATTTAATAAAATCCGGATTTATTTGAAAGTAAATAAGGACCACGGGATACCCGTGAGACCAATTAACTTTGTTCGCTGTAAAATGCCATCTGGTTGAATATGAAATCCCAGTTGCAGGCTAAAAGAACCAAAAACAAAACCAAAAAAAAATATATATATATTAAAAAAAAAAAAAAAAACTGAAAAAAAAGTCAGCATTTTTGCCAGTTGTGGCGACGGCGTCGGGCCCAGCGAATATAAAGTCCCAGTTCCGGCCGAAAATAAATCTCTGTCCCCGATTCCCTGGTCCCAGGTCCCTGTCCGGTCTCCGGTCGCCACCCGGTCACCCATGGCTAAGACCCCTTTTTGGACAATCATCGCATCTCCGCTGGAGGTCACACCCAAAGTCACAAAAGTCACGCCAACGTCAGCAGTGATCAGTTTGAATGGGGTGGAAAATGGCATCAGGAAAAGCTCGGGTCGGGACTGGGCTGGGCTGGGTTTCGGTTTCGTTACGCTTTTTGGTGGAAAAGTGCGAGAGCCGAGAGCCCGGCCACAATCTGTGGGCCATCATCATGGGGCGACATGGCCATCGACATGGACATCTACATCTACATCGATGGCCATCGAGGACACGTGTCCGTCGTGGGCTGGGGCCTAGGATGGCTTGGCGCTGCGACAAATGGTCTCCGGACCGGAGTCGCAATGCGAATTCCGGCCACAAAAGCACGGACTCTACAATGGCCACTTCCTTGCCACCTTTCCGGCGGACCTTATGCGTCCTCCGGTGCTCATTTCTTTTTCTCTTTATCATTTCTCGTTGCCCATCGCCAGTTGTTCGTTTTCATTTCTCGTTTTCTATTTTTTTTTGTTGTTGTCGTTTTTGGCTTTGTTGACAAATCATTCTATGTGCGTGTGTGTGTGTGGGTTGGGTGGGGGCGTGGCTTGGAGCAGTCAGGTGGTCCATTGTCCTGGCCAACTGGTATATCATTCATTCAGCCGGGCAACGGATACGCCGATGTTGGGCCAACGTCATCTGGCACTTGGCAATGCACCTGTCCTCCGCCTCCGCTAGGTGCACCTCCTCCTCCTTCCCCACTTCCATTGCCTTGCTCCACCTCCTGATTCCCTCCCTAAACTAGTTTTGGTTACATGTGTATATGCACACGCCAAGAAAAAAAGTTGGGATCAGGGATCAAGGCAATATACATATGGAATTATGTGTGTAGGGTTGCTGGGTTCAATTTTCTCATTTCATCTTAAGTAGATTTGTTTTAAATCCTAAATTTAATAGGAACTTGGAGAAGAGAGGTATAAAAAATTAAATATAAATAAATATATTATATTATAATTAAGTGACATAAAATATATAATATAAATTCTTAATACAATAATTTTAATTTTAAATAAATCCCAGAGCTTGTAAAATTATATCAAAAGTCTTAAATGTTGATTTCTTTGGCAGAACGAACTAAAAGGACTTCAAGAGAGTCTCTCGCTTTCGTAATGTCTTCTTACCTTCTCTCTCAGAGAGAACGGCACCGATAATAAGCTTAAAAGTTTCTCTAACGCTTTTGTAGAGTCATTTTGGTTTTCTTTTGAATTTAGAGAGAGCAACTGAAACAAATCTCACTCTCTCAGAGAGAACGGCAACGGTAATAAGCTTAAGAGTCTTTATCTTTTTCGCTTTTTTTGAGTCTTTTTGGTCTTCTTTTGAATTTAGAGAGCACAACTGAAACGAATCTCTCTCTCGATTTGTATGCAACAGAAAAAATAGAGAGATCTTTTCGCAAGGCATGTCAAGGGGTCAAGAGAGCGAATTCATCTTTCAGACTTTGACCGAGAGAGAAGGAAACGTTTCTTTGCTTTCGTTTTTCAACAGCGCTCGCTCTAAGAAATACCGATAAATATCTTAACTTTGATATAGTAAAAATAAAATTTATTTAACACTTTCTCTTCTGAACCTCAAATACTTGTTACACTTTTTCCATTTCACAGTCAGAGTTGCCATCATTCGACTCAGGACCCACGCTCTACCAACCAAACAGGTCCTCAAGGGTTTGCTCATAGGGCGTCCCGACCGTTGGGTGGGCAGCATCGAAAAGCTTGTACAAGTGATCCAGGAGCTGAACTCGCTGTAGCTCATCCTGCACCAGAGTCTTTAGGTGCTTGTGCACATGAATAAAGTAGTGACTGTTGACATTGTTACTGTAAGCATTCGCCATTTGGCTTAGCTCGTCGAATTTTTGCTGAAACTGCTCGATAAGATCGATCTCGGAGGGACCGTCCATTAGGTTTGGGGACGGTGGCTGCTTTAGGATGGCCAAGGAAGTAAGCACATCGTGGGCGTAGTCACCCAGGGAAATGCTCAGTTGGACGACAGCCATCAGCAGTGCATTATCATCGTTCACATCGTCGGCGATGTTATGTTTCCATGACTGTTTGACCATTTTGGATTTCGCTAAAAGGATTTACGGGTTTACAGGATCTGGATAATACGTTATGAAGAAATATCTTACTTTTAGTATCAGAGCTGAATTTGAATAGAACTTTGAATTGTAAAATAAACAGATCGACTGACGACTAATTATTGGATACTATATCAGTTTTGTATATTTAAAGGCTCTGGCAAAGCCTGTTTTTGGGAAATTTAAAAGACACAGTTTGTTTCAGGAATCTTTATAGCTTTATAGTTTTCAATTTAGTTATTTAAAGTATTTAAATAAACACTTTAGGAAATATAGCCTTTAGAATTGCCTCCTCTCTCTTTCTCTCTGTAAGGCGAAATTCCAATTTAATATGCATTATATAGGCTTAATGGGAAATAACTATATATTGTATATATATACAAAATAAGACGAGATTAACCCCTATTTTGTACTATTTTTCGCTCGATGTATGTGTGTGTGCCGTGCCGTGCCGTGCCGTGCCGCGTCGCCTGGCAATGAAAGACACAAAGAGTCACTGCATCAATGGGCGAGTTTGAAGGCACGATGACTAGATTACGCTTATAATGAAGGCCTCGGGGGTGCACACAGGGTGGGGGTAGGGAATGGGGGCTTTGGGTGGGGGCTGAGACCCTTAACCCTCTGTCTGTCATGCGGCGAAAGGTAAGCCCAGGCCCAGGCAGAGGCAAAAAGGGTGCCCCTGAGCCCGGTTGCCACTGGGAGAACGCCAAAGCGAGCAACGAGCAACGAGTAAAAAAAAAAAAAATAAGGAATTATCATGAATGGAAACTAATCCTGGCCATGCCCTGAAAGCTTATCACAGAGCCGGCTTTCTGTGGGTCTTATAATATATATATGTATATGTATTTACTATATACCTTATGTATGTCTGTGCATATAGTGTGCTCTGCGGCTTCATCATTGAATTTACAGAAATTTTTGTAATATTCAGCCGTCTGCTAAGCAAAAGGAAAACTTACATTACTCTAGTAGTTTTTTGAGGGAAATTAAAAAAGGGGCGAGGGAGCCACGCTGTTGTCATAGTTTTTCACTCAATGGATGCTATGCAATGCCTGGCCATTCTGTATCCAGCTCATTGGATTAAGGATTAGGGATCTGGGGAAACCGAAGAATTAAAGCCTGGAATAAAACGGTGCAAGTCTTTAAGCTTGATTTGACAGTCTTTGACTTTAATTTGCTAGAAAAGTTTTTTGTTTTTCTGAAATAATTTTATTGTTCTGATTCTGGAATCATTTTTGTGATACTTTTTCTCTAAAAATATAGTACTCCTGAGCCCAAAGCCTTTACCAGCGAGTTCAATGACTTTTCTTAGCTAAAAAATGTTTATGTCTTTCTGAAATCATTTTTCTACATTTTTCTATAAAATCAAATTAAAAGAAGCTCGATTTTCTTAGGTATTTCTTCAATGTCAATGAGTCAGAGAATATTTCTTTAAAAAACCTAGTTTTTAGTAAAATAAATTAAATTATTAATAAATCAATCCTTACAATTCTTTAACTTTTATTAGCATTCCTAAGCAAAAGCTTGCTAGAAAAATATAAAACCTCTCTGTATTTTATCTTAACTTTTTACGCAAAGTTGCTAGATTTCCCACTTAAAACCAAGGTCTCCCCCTTAGAGCCTCGTTACCCTTAAGGTTTGTTCTAAATTAATAAGGCAATTGTTAAACTTTCATTAGAATTCCCTGCTGTTGTTATTGCTGTTGTTTTCTAAACTATTTTTTAATAACAAGACTGACTTTTTGGAGGCAACAACGACGACGACGACGGCGGCTACTTTGACAGTTTATCACTCAGCCAAAAGTTTGTTGGCGGAAAAACTTAAATGATTCTGTTTTTTTTTTGGAAATAAAATTAGCAACTTTTCAGGAGGATGTGATGAGGGGACAGCTCCTTAATATTGATTAAGTTGGCCCAAAAAAGGCAATACGAAAATACCTTTTGTACCTTTTGTACCTTTGCCATTAAGAAAAGGTTACCGGTCATCAGTGGCGTTCATTGAACCCACGAAAATAACTCACATACTGAGAGCGAGAGCGAAGAGAACTTTATTTTTATAATCATGATTCATGACATGGAATGCCCGAATGGAAAGGATGCGAATGGAAATATTGTTGTTCATTTTTAACTTCCAAAAGGGGGGAATCTCGGATGTGAAGAGTTCATTCAACCGTGCAAAGTGAACTCAACTTTATTTATTTTGTTTTTTATTTTATTATTTTGCATTCTGCATTCTCTCCCCTTTAATACATACATATATATTTTAAGTGTTGTGCCTTTTTAATTATCCTTTTGGCGAGATGATGAAAAAAGTGTATATAATACACTCTCCCACGCTCTACCCTGCTCCCTGCTCCTCTTAAACTTTACTTTTCATTTGTAATTATAACAATTCCACAGTGGGGAGGGGAGGGTAGGGTCGGGTCGGGAAGAGATGAAAAACTGGCAAATGGCGAAATGGCGGTGCTTATGTAATTACAACACTTCTGTAGAGGAGGCTGGGCCCAAGCCGAGTTGCAAACTCGGGACGCTGAATGGGGATTACTTCCAACGGACCCACATAGTTCGGGTAATTCCCGGTTAATTGGACTGTCAATTGATGCGGGCCATGTGGAAGGCTGGAATGGCAAAGGGAGATGCACCAGCACCAGCACCCTCACCATCACCCCCACCCTTTCCCAATGTTGGAAACTTTGTTCACCCAGCGAGTTTCCAAGCTCCCTTTAACCCCCATGCAGCCCACTCGTGCCTCTCCTGTCTCTTGGCATTTGTGCAATATTTTGCCATGAATTGACGGGCTCGTTGATAGGCATTCCGATAGTTTATGGGGAGTGATGGGGGGGAGGTAACGGGGCTTTGGCAGTGTTATTTGTATGGCCTAAAACTTTTTACCAAAAGGAGAAAGGGAAGGCCAAAGCTTGTTTGCGAATTCAATTGAAATTGCATTTGAAATCATTTCGGCATTTAGCATTATTATACATATTGTAGCTGTGTATATATAGCTATAGCTATATACATATATATACTTGTATTTGCATTGTATGTACTGTGTGTTAGTTTGCAATTTACCACAATTTGCACAATTTATTTGCTTTGACTTTGACTCCTCAACTCGGGCAGCATTTTGCCCAATTGTGCACATTTTCCATCCTATTTTATTTCATTTGATTCCCATTCTCATTCCCATTCCCATTCCCATTTCCATTGCAATTCATTTCAATTCCAGTTGCCACACACATTCCCGCCAGCGCGCCTACCATCTATTTCCATTTTTATTGTTTCTGTTTCGGCATCATTTTCATTTTCATTTTCATTACGACTAAAGTGCGGTTTTTCGCACACCCAAAGATTTGACCGACAAACGGACAATCGAGAGAATCCGCCGCATCCTGTATCGTCCTTGTACTGATAGACAGAGAGAGAGAGAGTGGAGGATGAGTGAGAGAGCGAGTGTCGATTGAAAGCAATTTGATTTGGCCAACAATCTGCTGGCTGATTGAGGAATTCCGCCGGATAGGCTGCGAAAATTATCGCACATTTTGAGTGCTATGGCCGTGTACTTTTTAATCGTGGGGCTCGGGGCCTGGGGGCTTGGCGCATTTTGGCGCAGTGGGATTTGCGTTTGCCAAAATTGCGTAATGGCCAAGAACAACAACAAAATGGCTACTAATACAGCAAATGCTATAGAATATGGCTAGAATGCCAAAAATGCCAGCAGCAGTAGCAGTAGCTCCATTTCCATTTCTATTTCCACTTCCATCTTCCCGCTCCCCGTTCCCCTTCCACTACCCTTCCATCCACTTTCCCAACAAAAATAATGGAATTTATTAGCGCGCGCGAGATGTAAAAACATTTCTCGCCCAACTCAGCTCAGCGCATTACTCTTTGGGGAGCCACGCTAGATTGACCACGAATTAAATCCATTATCGGCCTTTCGGCCTGTGCTGGTGCTGCTGCTGGTGCTGCTGGTCCTGCTGCTCCTGGCCAGCCCGGCCCTGGTGTGTGTGTATCTATCTATTATTCAAGTTTTAAGTCCCCCTTTCTTTTTTTTTTTTGCTCGTCTTAATCCGCTTAAACTCGCTTCGGCGAAACTGTTAAAATTCCAGGATTAGCGGACCTGCACTAACATTGGCTAAGGTCAAACTGTTCTAAAAGCTTGCGTTCCATTCAAGCTCTGCTCCTGCGATTTGCAGTGGCGCAACAGCGCTGTAAGCAGCATGTACGCTGCACAGTGGTAGTCAGCAGGGATTACTGTTATTTAAATTAATGCTTAGATAGGAATCAATAATTAATACATAATAAAATAATAAATTATAAATAAAATATTGTTTGCAGAAATAACAATGATTTGTCTAGGCTCTTAAAAAATTAGATCGTTGGCTTTTGTGACATCTTTGATATCATATTTTGATTCTGCTAAAATTTTAAACGGCTAGATCGACTCGGGTTTTGATGGTGATCATGAATATATGTAGAGCTCAGCAAAGCAGGACGAGCCAAAGATACATAGATCGCTAGATAGATATACAGATTGATAGATAGTTTAATGCAATATTGCTGTTGTAATTTCTTAATATTTTTCAAGAATTGTAAATTGTTAGTAATTTGTTATTATTTCAATAATATTTGTTAATTCTTGAAGCCTAATCCAGTTTTGTAGAATCTTCCAGCAAGGGCTCATCTCTGATTAGCCTGGACTTGGACTTGGGTCTTGCTGGAGTATAGATTGGATTTATTGGTGGGGGCTGTTGTCTTCCCTCAGGTGTATAAGGTGCAGGGCCAACATGGGCCCTTGGTGGTGTCTGGGGATCATTGAATACCTCCTGCTCTTCCTCCTTCTTGGACGCCTTCCCTTCTCCCTTCGAAGAACCTGCTTTAGCCACGTCCTGAATCTTGCTCTCCATCTTCTTCTTCTTCAAATCCTGCTCGATATCGGTGGGATTGGGCTTGCCGGCACGCTTGCCCAATAGCTTTGCGGGAACCTTGTCATCTGCCGAAGTCTCCTCTTCAGTCTTCTGCTTAGAAGCACCTTTTGTGGTGCAAGTCGCCTCTGCCTTCACCTTGTTGCCGGTGTCCAGTTGCTTCTCTTCCTTCTCTTTGGTTAGCGGTGTCGTCTTTGAGAAGCCGGGCATCTCGTGGGGTGCTGATAGTATAGATTAGCGGGGTTGGAGCTGTGATGAAACCGGTTAACGTTAGTAAAACCTTTGACGTTAAAGTTTTACCAGTGAAACCAGCTTGACATTAAATTCAATGGGAACTCTTCGGTTACATATTTGCTATATTCAAATTAAAAACGGTATGTTTTAAAATGCTTGGATTTCTTTTGCTTTTCTTTTTTATATATGTAAGCTTCTTTTTTTATTATTTATTTCCTCCGATTAAAGGGTTAACAGTATCCAAAACCCAACTCCTGTAGCAACAATGTTGCTACAGTGCTCTCTTGTTGGGCTAGGCTAACAGCTGTAAGGACCATCGGCTAATTAACAGAGTTAGGGGGAAGCCTAACAGCGGAAACAGTACTGTTATATGCCTTCCACGGCGAACCCTTCTCCTGCGTAGCAAACTAATCGAACAGAGATGCGCGGTTGGAAGGGCACGTGACACGACAAATGGAAAATTATCGAAAAGGAAATGAAATCTAATAAGTAACATAAATATATAAAATGTAGCGAAATAGGCATAAATAAAGCAATAAATCAATCGGTAATGATTTGACTTTGTGAAGTTAAAGAATATGTGAGAAGATGTAGTACCTTTTGCGCATTTAGTCACTAATTTTAGTTTAAATATGTTAAGAAAACATGTAAAACTTATTGAAAAAACCAGAATTCATAAGAAATACATGTAAGAAAGAATATTCTTTAATAATTCTTTAATTTAATTTAAAATTTTATTTTTACGCAATTGTTTTAAATACAACAATTTATATTTGAGGCACTTACAAGTGGCTCATCTCCCATTTAAAGTTATTTTATGGCTTTTTCTATACGTTTTATAGCCATTTTCCACAGTTATGGTTATGTGCTATAAGCCATACATTTATAGGAAACGCGTTTATGGCTCATTCTTTATGGCAACCCCTGTCCCAAAGCTGCAAAAAGGACGAAAATAAGCTCTCTTCGGATTTGCAAACCGCAAGCAAAAAGCGTTAAGCCCGGAAATCTACAAAATTTTGCGGCGAAAGTGGACCAAAGTTGTGTTTTCCTACTTGTTGTTGTTTTTATATTATTTTATGATTTCCCCCCGCTTAAGCTGCAGCTTTCTCTCAGTTGGCCGCGAGTTTTGGCACCGAACGGTCTACAAAAATGAGCGAATTTTCCGGCCGCAGTTCCGCTTCCGCCTGCGCCTGTTCCTCTTGTTCCTCGTTCCCAGCAGCTTGTTTTGATTATTATTATTGTTGTTAAAAGAAAATTACGAAGATAAAGTGCGTTGTTGAAAGTGTCAGGCCTCGAGGAAAAGCGCCACTCAAAAACCAAGTGTTTTCCCGTATTTGTTGTGGTTATTTTATTTCTGTAGAGGAAAAACCAGGAGTCAAATCCAGGTGAGGTGTTGCTTTCCTCTGTGCTACTTTCAGCTGTTGTAGATGTTGTTGTTGTTGTTGTTGTTGTTGCTACGGGATAACCTAGGAAAAGCCCTAGCGAATGTCTGTTTGTGTGTGTGTATTTCCGCCAAGTTGCTCTAGATTTTCGGGCTTCCCAATTTCCTCAGTCTTCGCCCCGCATTTTTGATTACTTTGACTTTCGCCCGCTTTTCACTCTCCATTTCGCCGAGTGAAAACTTTTTTGATTTCCCCCTTTTTATTTTTATTATTTTTTTATTTTTGTTTTTTTTCTTTTGGCTTCAAGGATGCGTGTGGCACATCCTCATTACAGTTGTCTCTCTGTGTGACGTGACCGGAGTTCATTCCTTTTGTGGCTGCTGGCCGCCTGCCCCATTTTCGGGGAATGAAAAAAGAGGTCACTAGCCGCGGCGACACTTTCAGGCCCAAAAGCCTTACATACATAGCATATCGGGCCCAGTATATATCCTATATAGTGTATATATATATGGCCAGATATCGGGGTGTGCGTGTGCAACAAAAGACAGAGCCCCAGAGCCAGAGCCAGTGGAATGACCTCGGAGTAGGTTAATGAAAAGTGGCACTACGGCTGCTGGCTGCTGGCTGGGCCTCTTGCCAACTGGCTCTCCTCCTGGCCCCTCTTAGGTCTCCTCTAAGCCACAATGTGTGACCAACTTTGTTCTGCACTTGCACAAATCGAGGGATTCAAATGAGAGAGAATTACCTGCGCTTAGATGCAAAGCGATTTCAAATCACTGCGGCAAATGCCCAAAAGTATGCCAAGAAAAAAACTTGTAGCTTTGCTCATAGACACATTATAAACATAAATTTATTTCGAATTGGGTTAAGTTACCAAAAATTTAAGCAAACAGTACACTAATCTTACTAAAAACTGTAAAATTGTTTGTAATAATTGAATAATTCAAAAGAAAGGCCTTGAAAACTATATACAAATGCCTTTAAAAAATAGTAGCCTTAACTTTGCTGAACTACCAACGCCTTTCTCCCAGTGTGTTTGGCCAGTGTTTGTGTGAGTTTGAGTGTATATAAAACCCCCCATTAAGTGCCCATTACACCTGTTATACTGTCAACGTTTTGCTGCATTGAGTGGGCCCCAGGACCTGGGGAGGATCTGGCCAGGGTAAGCCCAGTGCGAGGCTCTTAGTGTAATGCACTTATCCATGCCCGGCTGGAATATAATTAAACGGATTTAATGGGGAGCTCAATGAACCGAATAAGCCAGTAAATAGAAAGAATATATATTTTGCAGGGAGCTTAACGAACACAGTAAAGCTTCATAAGAGTGAACTCTGAAGGAGCTACATGAAAGAGGCGATTGTTGGTGAAGTTTAGCTGTAATCCTTGACGAGTTCCTAGTTTTTCCGAGATACGTAGACCCTGATAAAGAGTTTGCCGCTGGTTGGGTCAGCCTAAAGTGATCCATTGTCATCAGCTGGGGAGGCAGAACCTGTCCATCATTCGTGGCAGCGCTCCTCCGCTTTGAAGTGGCAATGCTGCGTCTTTGGTTACAAATTCAATTGAAAAACTGTCAAAGTTTTGTGATTGAGAACGAGTATGAGCACCTGTCCCCGCCTCCGCACACACGCACACAAACACCGCCATGATGATGAGGCAAATCTCTGGGTGTAAAGCGATCCAAGATGAAAGTGTTTGCCTCCGTCTCCGCCTCCAAATCTAAATCCAATCCAGCCATAAAGCCATTGTCGTCAGTTTCCGATGAAAACATTTGGGTTTTATTTTCGTTTTTCAGTTTTTGTTTCTTTTTCTTTGTGACTCATTGACGCCGCTTTTTTTGGGGGTGAATTGAGGAACTGCATCAACCCATTGACACAAATTTTTTAAAATCTGATTAGGAGTACATTTTATAGACTTCTTATTGTTTTTGGTGACAGGAAGGCGAGCGGAAATGCCTCGTAATTGGTAGGGTACCCCCATGGATGGGACTCCTCCGCCGGCTATGATGAGCTTCACCATCAGCCTGGCGCTGCTGCTGCTGGCGGTCCTGGTCATGTGCCTGCTCTTCGCCTGCCACTGCCTTGGGCCGAGGGCCGCCAACTGGATGAGGATGAGGTCCAGCAAGGAGGAGAAGATCGGACTGTCCAACCACAAGCACAAGCTCTTCCATGCCAATGGCTATATGGCTAGTGTGAGTGTACATTTGACTATATTTAAATTTAATTTGTATTTATGAAATATACATATATTATTTATGGGGTAAAAGAATAAATACTTTATTAAGCAAAAGCAGCAACCAATCTGAGCTTTAATACTGCTTTCTCATGGATACCCTTCACCCTTTGCAGATCCAATCCGGCTCGGAGTTTCTGCTAAGCACCAGCGGCAGCTTCAAGCGCTTCGACACCATCGACAAGGACGACTACAGCCGCTCCCAGCAGACGCAACTGCTGCTGATCAACGGCAGCGGCGCCATGTCCATACCAGCGGGCGCCTCCTCTACCAGCACCACCGTCGTGGAGGCCACCACACCCATGTGGAACCTGCCGCTGGCGGACGGCGGCATACCACCGCAGCCGCTGAGGCCAGCACCGGCTCCAATTCCAAACTCAAGTGGAGCGCCAACACCCAATAGCGCTGGACCCACCAGCAAGACGGTGTCTTTCTCCTTCAGCCAGGTGAACGAGGTGGGAAATGTTTCCATATCGGCGCCAGTCATCGGGGATCAGGAACGTCGCTCTTGCCTCCGGTTGAATGGTGGTGGCTCTACGTTAGTGGGCATCCTCCCTCAGCCACTGGAGGCACCACCACCGCCACGGCTCACCACATCGGCGTCGGTGAACCTGTCGGCCACTGCTATACCGCGACCGACGGCCAAGCGACAGGTGTCCCTGCAGCAGGGAATCAATGGAGGCCAACAGGTGGCTGCCGCTGCTCCCAATTCTATTTCTGCTCCTCCTCCTGCTCCCCCCGAGGAAACGGAGAGGCGAACGCCGGCGCTGAAACGTAGGAACTCCAGCACCAATCCCTTTCTGTGCGAGTCCACGGAGCAGATGTCACATACAGAGCCTCCAGTGGTGTCCACTTCCTCTGCCACGATTTCTGCTGCTGAACAGGAATCTGTCCAGGTTCAGGCGCCTTCCTTGGAGAGCAGCTCGCCTCACCATAATGGCAATCCCTTTGTGGAGTCCCAGAGTTTGTCCAGCCGCCTACTGAAGCTACAAAATACCACGAACCCGTTTACAGGACTCTCGCAACGGGTCAAGGGACCGCACCTGCTGCAAAAGACCATCTCCGAGGACTATCTTTTCCGCAAACTGGGCATGACCAATGGCCATGTGAATGGCAATGGGAATGGTAATGGGAATGGTAATGGCACCTGGTCCTTTGGACGCTCCCTGCTCCGCCAGGACTCCACTTTGAGCCTGGGCATGGGCCTGGGCAGGCGCAACAGCTCCCAGATATCACTGGACTCGGCCTCGGGCTCGGTAAGTGGCTCCCTGGAGGGCATCAATCTGGAGCGGGCAATCTCCTGTGACTCTGTTACCTCGGACTCGACGCTCTTCCTGGACCAGCTGGATCAGCCCTACACCCAGATCACCGGATATCTATGCGTGGGCCTTAACTATGACAAGTAGGAGTAGTGTCTTTGGGTGCTCCATGAGATTTTTGATTGAGACTTAAAATTATTTCTTGCCAGGAACAGCATTAGCAACGAGGGCATGGATCTCACGGTGAGTGTCCTGGAGGCCAAGGGTCTTATTTGTCCCTTTAGCGTGGACTCACTGGACACCTTTGTGCGCATCTATCTGGTGCCCGATCATCCGGGTGCCATGCAGACCAAGGTAAAGACCAGGAAGGTTTTTTGAGTTCCTGATATATATGTTAGAATCCCTTTCCAGGTGGTCAATGCTGCCCTGACGCCCTGCTACAACGAGAGCTTCAACTTTTGGCTGCAGAAGCGGCAGGCCAGGCACTCCCTCTGGTTCCATCTCTACCACAATGGGCCCGCCCACACGCTGATCGGCGAGGCGGAGATGGAGATCGGTGAGATGCCGCGCCCTATTACCACCTGGATACCGCTCTCGGACTCTCGCAAGTGCAATGCCCGCTGGGGCGAGCTGATGTTTTCCCTGAGCTACCTGCCCACGGCGGAGCGTCTCACCATTGTGGTGGTCAAGGCCCGGAATCTCAAGCTGGACTCGGAGCAGCCCCCAGACACCGTGCAGAGTGTCTTTGTCAAGGTGAGGGCGAGAGAGAGTGTGTGTGCTTTTCCTGCCTCTGACTTACATCCCACCCACTTGACCCTAGGTCTACCTGATGGACAACGATCGCAAGGTGCTGAAGAAGCGCACCTCGCTGAAGCGCAAGGATCGGAGTCCCATCTTCAATGAGTCCATGATATTCAATGTGCCGCCACCGAGCCTGACCACTGCCCAGCTCCGGCTCACTGTGTTCGGGGTGACCAGCGGTGGTGGTGGTGGAGCTCCTGTGGCCCTGGGTCATGTCGTTGCCGGCAGCTGTGCAGTGGGCAAGGGTTTGCGTCACTGGCACCAGATGCTTTCGTCGCTGCGCAAACCGGTGGCCATGTGGCATGTCCTGCGGCGGGCTGTCAATCAGCCGGTGTTTACGGGCGGCGCCGAGGCGGTGGTGGCTGCCATGCAAAACACACTGCAGCGGTCCAGCGCCAAGCGGAACAGCATTGTCTAGGATGCAGCTATGATGCAGCGGCTCCTCTGATCGTTAGGCACAAATTTTCCGCCTCGTTGCCGACACTTAATTTAACGCGTTTTAGTTGGAAAAAAAAAAAAGAAACCCCTTTCCGTAGGGAAGAGGAGGAGACAAAGTCAGAGACAGATCCTTGTGGAAAATCGCATTTACCACGCCCGTTTACTCTTGCCATGAGAATTTCTTACTTTTCTACTGCTTCCCCCGAACCAGAAGTATTATTATAGACAGAAAGAAAAACCCCGCACCAAAGGACAAACGAGCCTATTAACTAGTTATATATAATATATATACCTATATATACATATATTAATATTGTCGCGCACTAATTGTTATGTAATGGGTTTTATTGTACCGAGCATATGGCCCCGTATCTGGTGGATCGGAGACCCGCACTTGTTGAGATTTGTCATTGCATACGGCGAGCGAAATAATTGAAAAACTCTAAATTAAATATATTAGTTTTGATCAGGAATATATCTTTTAAGAAAGGAATGTCAAGTTTTTACTACAAAAATGCTTAAAAAGTAAGTTTTAGGCGGATTTCAAATTTTATTGCATACTTTTCAGCATGCAAATAACTGATTTAAAGTCTCTTAAACGGAAATAAGGAATGATCTTTCAATAGAACTTTTTTAAATTATTTTTAAAGAAGAGTCCTTAAAATTGTTAAATTCCCTTTTGATTGCATACTTTTCAGCATGCAAATTCGTGATTTTAAACCTCTAAAAAGAAAAGCCATTTCATTTTGGTTATGGATATCTTTCCAAGAAAGGTTATTTTAATTTATTTTCAAAGGAGACCCTTTAGAATTGAAAAGTTTTCAATTTGATTAAAAATAATTGTTTCAACTCTCTAAGGTATTTTGTTATAAATATACATATTATTTATTTGAAATTCCCAAGAAAAGCGTGGCATCTTAAGGTAACCATTTGTTTGGTCTGTAAAAGAAAAATATGTGAAAACAGAAACCAAACAGCATTTCAACACTCGAATCATTTTCAAATTTGAAGATCATCTTGAATGGAGACTCGGGCGACTTCTGCCACTTGAGATCTCCGATTTCTAACTTCAAAACAAAGGGGGAAAAATGAATACCCAGAGAGGATTTCAATTATTTCGCGTGCTGTATGGCCCAGTAAGCCTGTTGTAGTAGAACTCCTCCCCCTAGATAGATCGTCATTTGGCAATCAATCGTTGTTGAATTAGAGAGAGTAGAGGTGGGAAAAAATCGATCAGAAATCGATAAAAATCGATGCTTATCCACCTCTTCTAGAGACCCTAGACAAAGACCCAAGCTGGCCCCTTGAGAGCATTGTGATATGATATAATAGAATGATTCAGAGTGCCGAGTCTGTATCGTATCGGAAAAATCAAAGTATTTAACGACAGTTGCAATCCATAGCCGAATTGTATTATCTATATTATATATATAGTAAATATTTATTATATAATGGACACACCAGCGATTGTTTTTTGTACTTTTGTGATGATGATTATTTGCGTTCGTTCGGATTTTGTAGTTTTATAATTAGATTTAGTTGGTTCAAGTTGGATCAAACTTACACACAGTATATAAAATATATATATATATGGATTTCCATTTAGAGAGCGTTTTTTGTAAACAGTAAAGGACAATAACTTTGCAAGCATTTATATAATTCCAAGTGAATCGAATAATTATAGTAATCGAGGCTTAGTTCAAACCCATTAACCAGATTCTCCAGATTGTCCGCTGGATCCGCATGGATGTCCTTGTAGAGCGTAGAATGCACTTGCACCTGCACCAGCACCTGTCTAGAGTCCTTTTCTAGCACACACTTTAAGCTGAAATTTTACTCTGCGCACAAATCCCGTTACGTCACTCAATCGCTCAATCATTCAACTGTTTACATGGTTAGGCGGCAGAACAGTGCGTTTCACAACTGTATAGTACGAAGAAGAGCACATATATACTTTCTAGTAGTTCTACAAGAATTTACTGCTTTCGATAACATATCGCTTAACGGGCTGAATTCGATAACATTTGACAATCGCCAATTAAAGAATTGGTCTTGATTCGGCCTCAAATCAATCTTATTCCCGTAACTTCAAGGCCTGACATGTGTGAAACGCACTGTAACCGAGAATTTCCGGAGATATATAAACCTGCTGGTTTTTGTCTGTTTTTTATATAAATTAATTTTTTTTTACATGAACATAATGTTTGTTGGCTAAACTAAAATAAAAAGAACTCGTGTTGAATTTGTATTTATACGAACAAAAAATATATATACATATATGAAATGTACGTGCTATATGAGATAATGCTACAAATTGTTATACAAATAAATCAGAATTGACTCAAAAATATATACAAATATAAACGGATACAAGATATTAAAGGAAGCAACTAGAAATCAATATGCACATTGACAAAATACAGAGTCCAAACAGAGAGAGGGAGATGGAGAGATCCGCAGATGGGCTAACTACAGTCGGGCCTCGCGAAAAAGAACCAGGTATATGGGTAAGAAAATATTTAAAAATATTTTTTATTTTATTTATTTTTTGATTATATTTTAAAACCAACTTAATTATTCTTTATAAGAATGTGAAAGTTCATAATCCTTATGAATCCTTAACATTTAAAGTCAAAAGAGGACAAACGGACTAACGGCGAAATCGTCTATAATATAAATAATATATAGACAGATAAACAATACAAAAATAAATATGAAAAAGTTAATGAATAAAAAATAGAATTTAAAAATATGTAAGGTAGCTAGTCCATCTTAAGGAGGTCCTTCTGCCGCTGACTGTATCTTTCGCCCGCTGATGCATGCCATCTGTGCGTCTATTGGATAGTCTATATTTAGAGCCAGCGATTAGCAGCCAATGGCAGGCGAGGATCCGGCCTCCTCCGGTCGCTGCGGCCGCCGTCCGGGTCTAACCACTTGACGCTGCCAGGCTGTCTGGTCGGTTCGTCGGCGACAAGTAGCTGCGGTTGCCTCAGCTCAGTGCTTAAATGTGCGCGTCGCTACCCGAATCCTTTCAGTCGATCAGCAACAAGCCAGCCAGGATGAGCAAGGATCACCAGGATAGAATCATCAGCCCCCGGGAGCGACGTCTGCTGCGTACGCCGAAGTGCGCCCGTTGCCGCAACCATGGTGTCATCTCCTGCGTCAAGGGCCACAAGCGGCTGTGCCGGTGGCGCGAGTGCTGCTGCCCCAACTGCCAGCTGGTGGTGGACCGTCAACGGGTAATGGCCGCCCAGGTGGCCCTGCGACGCCAGCAAACCATGGAGGCTTTGGAGGTCAACACCACCACGACAGCAACAGCCTCCAGCGAGGGTGAGGATTCGCTTACCTCCACATCACCCCCGCCATTGGGATTTAGGAACTCCAGCGCAACATCTGCCACATCATCATCATCGTCATCCGCCACGCGACAGGCCTTGATGGCCCAGAAAAGGATCTACAAGCAGCGGCTGCGCAGCCTGCAGCAGTCCACGTTACACATTACCGCTGCCATGGAAGGTTAGTAGCTTAAATTCCACATGAAACCTAACATCAGGGCGTATTTTCCTAACAAAGAAGTTAAAGGTTGAATAGCAGTATTTTTTAAACTAAAAAATTGGCTAGAATAGAAAGGATATAAGGCCGGAAACCCTGTTATTTCTACATGTATTTATGTTAATTTATTATTTCCCACCAAAGATGTTATGGTTTTTATTTGTTTAACTACAAAATTCAATAAATTTGAAAGGATACCAAGAACAGGCGGTAATTCTGAAAAAAAAGTTTACAGGAATTTATGCTTAGTTTCACTATTTCCATTTTTTTTAGTAAAGAAAAAGAGATTTTAGAGTTTCTATAAAAATACATTAGTTTAAAATTTCTGAAATCCATTAATAACTCAATTAAATTTAGAAAAAATATATAATTAATTATATATATAACATTTTTGAACATATCCGCAAATGTTAAACATTATTTAATAGTTTAATGTTAATTATTGTTTAAAAATATCATTTACGAAAATTAACTCAAAAAAATAAGCTCTTCTTTGTCCTTTTCTTGTGGATAAAATGATATATTTAAATAATAAATAATAATAATTTAAAGCTGAAGATTTGAAGGTATTTCCAAGATCGTTTTCCAGTGGATTTCACTGTATAAACAATTAATGTAGCTTAAAGATACATGTCTATGATATCTGTATATCTGAAAGTTAATGTATTTTAAAGATAAATACCTATGATATGTATCTTGACTATTAAATAGTTTATGTATCTTAAAGATGCGAATTTATGATTCAGATCTGGCCATTACATAGTCAATGTATCTTAAAGATATGTATTTGACCATTAAATAGTCAATGTATCTTAAAGATTCAAATATCTGAATATTATATAGTCAATGTATCTTAAAGATATACATATCTGACCATTAAATAGTCAATGTATCTTAAAGATTCAAATATCAGATCATTAAAAAGTCAATTTATCTTAAAGATATACATATCTGACCATTAAATAGGTAATGTATCTTCAAGATACATATCTATGCTACACTCACTCCCCGAGTCCTGGTCCCCGCCCCTTCCCTGGGCTCTTCCTTATTTTTTTCCCCTCCACCATGCGGTGCCAGACTGTCTGGTCCAGACACTCACTCCGTAATTGGAGATCGTCTCCATCTCCCAACTCAGAGACTCCTGACCGATCGATACGTCGATGAGGGAGGAGGGGAACAGGACAGGAAATGAGTGATTCCCTGCAGCAACACTAACAACACCAACGCCAACAATAACACCAACAATATGTAGCAATTATTGAACTGACGAGAAAAAAAAAACAATGGAAATGAAAATGGAAATCGGACGCCCCGAAGTGTGTACGCACATTTTCCAATCACTTGAGGCGTAAGCTGATACGCCACGAAAACGGAAAAACCTCTTGAGAGGGTGAGAGGAGGGCAAAAATGTGGCAACAGCAATTGACTTCTTCTCCTTCGGGTTTTTCTCTTCTTTTTTTTCTCCCATCTGCTTTCCGAATAATATGTGGCGATCCGCGGTGCCAGACTGTCTGGTGTGGTGGCCACGTCTCCGGTTACCCAATGTGATCGCTGCAATTTGTATTCCCTTCTTCGCTATCCTATCCACCTTAATCCGTACTAATTTCGGTGCTTCCCCCGTTTTTTTTTCTGCTTCTTTATAGAGTACAAGCAGCGCTTTCCCACGTTCACATCGCCGCTGATGGAGCGCATGCGCAAGCGGCGGGCGTTCGCCGATCCGGAACTGAACCATGTCATGGAGGCGACACTGGGCGGGAACGCTTTGTACTTTGCCACCGTTGCCGCGGCTGTGCAGCAGGAGCAGCAACACCACCACCACCACAACTTGTATCAATCAATGCCGCCGCCGCCTGTGAACACACTGGTGGACACGCCCAGGACACGCCTGACGCAGCACTCCAGCTCCAGCACCGTCAAGAAGCCCAAGCTTAGCTTCTCCATTGAGGCCATCATGGGCCTCAGCACGTAGCCCCTGAAGGACACTCTCTCACTCTGTACATAGAACTAGGATTAGGTGACCCTTTTTTTTAATATCCCTAAGTTTCAACTGAAATAAAACAATGAAAATATAAGATTTTTTTAATATTATTATTATGGTTTTTAATAGGGAATCTATGATCTCGTAACTTTATCTTAAGGGTAATCACTATATAAATAAATTAATTGAATGAAATATAGATAGAACATATAATCTAATCCTTAAATGAAAAATATCTCTATTTAAATCCTTAAAATAATACAATGGAAATATACAAGTTTTTTTTTAATATTATTGTAGTTGTTAATAGGAAATCCTCCAAGATCTTGGAACTACTATATGTTGGGATCACAGGTTAATCCCTTTATTTAGATAATCACTGTATAAATTATATTTATTCGGGTAAGCTGAACATTTAATATTCTTTTTAAAAAATATTTTGTTTTATCTAATTCTTACAAAATCTCTGGATTAAAATAAAATAATATAAATATAAAGGTTTTTCTATTATTATTTTTATATTTATAGGGAATCTATGATCTATGATTTTAAAATTAAATCTTGGAACTTTGAGTAAATCACTGCATACATTAATAATCAATTGTTGAAAATATAGAAACCATAATTTTTGTTAAAATATTAAAAAAACGGTCAAAAGGATTCGATTTCCATAAAAATGCTCTACACTTCTGTAAGGAAGAATTGTTTATATGTTTATATTATATTTCTAATTGTGTAATTTAAATGTATGATAGAAGATAATAATTATTAAATATTATATTAACCTTGCAGGTTTTTATAAATTTTGTCAAAAGTTTGCAACGCTGTCATTTTTGTCATTATTGACCCTATAAACTATGGTTTTGTTGCTATTTTTGTAAATCTTCGCAGGCATAGTGTAAAAAGTCAATACAAATGTCTAAAATATGTTTTTTAAGGACCAGACACGAGCTTTTGAGTTTCCGAAATGTAGCTAAATTGTATGTTAAGTACCATATCTTGCAAAATTTTCTATATATTTTGCATATTTGGGTATGCAAAGGATTTATTACGCGACATAACACCCTCTCCGTACGGAAGATCGGCCATTTTCTGGACATTCATCTAAATAAGTGAGTTATAAAGCAAGGTTGATGAGGATATAAGGGGGGAAAAGCATGGAAAATTAATAATAATAATTAATTAATTAATTATTTAAATAAATATTTTTGAATGAATAAAACCTTAAAATTTGATAGGTACTCCGCTGCACCTGCTTCATTCCGCCCCCGTCCTTCCTATCAATCGGATCAATGGCTCTTCGATCAAATCATCTAAAAATGTTTGATTTGCTGTCCAGGGCAGCAAAATGCGCGCGCTAATGCACATCTATCGATCTATCGCTGCCTATCGAAAAAGCTGCTCAGTGATGCCAGGGCTGCAGACATGATAATTGTTTTTCAAACGTAATCGCTTGCCGCTCTTTCGCCGTGACTTCGCCGTTGCAACAAAAGCAAACATATAGTTGTGGTATATATACATATATACATACATACAGTATATATTTTGCGACAACAACTAGAGGTGGCGCGCCGCGACGCTGCTGAGAAAAACATTTGCCAGCACTTCAGCTGCTTCTGTTTCGGTCGCCGTTTCAGTTTTCAGTTGTTTAATTGCGGCTAGCGGCCAAGGAGCTTTGATTTTGTGATTCCGATTCTGATTGGAACAACTGACCGGGAACAGCAAAAGCAAACATACACCCGCACACACGCACCCTAGCGCACACATTATTAGGTATATATATGGTGTAGATAAGTTTATTAATAAGTTTATGGCTGACACACACACACACTCGTGGACTTGGGATCACAACAAACGCCGTTAGATAATTGCCCAACCCCCCCTTGGCAACAAATCCTCTTTCCCCCACCCGCATCAAGGTAAAAAGTGCAGCGAAAAATCGATTGAGGCAAAAACACCGTTGTTTTCTGCTCTTGAACTACATATACACGTGCGTGTAAGCACACACACATGGCCGCGAAATTCTAATTGGGAGCAGAGCAGCAAGGAAGTGACAGTGAAAGTGATTTGTGCGCCCAAAAAAAAATCAAGGGAACCTAAAAAACGGTGTAGTACCTCAGATTTGTTTATCGTTTTGCGTGTTTCTTTAATTGAATTGCGTGTTTCTCCCACAAAAGCCGCTAAATTGTTGCTTCTCCGCTGCGGTTAATTTTTTTCTTCTTTCTTTTTTGTGTTTGTGTGCGTGTGGCGTTAACAGCTGTTTAGCAAACCAATTAGCACAAAACGCCAATCGGCCCCCGTTTTCCCCTCTAATTTGTTTCCCTTTATTTTTGTTTTTGTTTATTTGCACCCTCTACGTGTCAATCAAGTTGTAATATAATTTGCTGACGTTCAGCCATAAAATAAATATATAATTATTTATAAATGAATACCTCTCAGTGCTCCCTACTCGACTTACGGTACTTTTAATTAGTTTCCAGTTGCTTATCAGAGAGTTTCGCTCGCTATATCTTATCCAGTTGGGATTGTGTATGCAGCAGCGTCCGATTAGGGTCCCGTGGTGGTCTAACTAGCTGGGAGGGTAATCAAGGTGCAAAGTGCACATAATACTCACTTTTTTTTAGGGGTAATGTTGCATAATTATGTTTGTTGTCAAAACAAATCAGAAAATCGCAAAAGCAGCGGCGGGCACAGTGACTGCCAGCAATCTGTGCACCATGAAAATCCAAAGAAACAACATATAGAATTTTTACCTAAATTTAAAACAAATGTTAAAATTAATAAATATACAAATTGTTACGGCACTGTTTTATTTGTACTTTTTTTTTTACAAAATATTATAAATTGAATAATTAAAAATTAAAAATCTTTCCGATTTTCCTTTGCTTTTAAAACTAAAAATGTAAAATATTTGTATCATCATTTATAAATTATTAAAATTCATAATTTGTATATAATAACTACAACATATATTTAATAAATATATTACGAATTTTTTTTTTTGTGGCTTAAAAATAAATTCCTCTAATATTTGTTAAAGTAAAGTAAAGCTTCTTAAAACTAAAAAGTAATTTATTTTAATTATTTAAATTCAACAATTAGTTTTCATAAAAAACTTAATGATTTTATAATATTTATACTTTAATTTGGTTAATAATAAACTTAAATAAATAAATATTAAAATAAGAAACACGCTAAAGACTTTAGTATAAGGTTTATATACAAAATTATATACTTTAATATGTAATTTTGTATTAAAAATAATAAGATACGCCAGAAAAAGCTTATAATTATTCAAAAGAAAAGTTTTGTGGATTGTAATACCTTTAGGGAGTGATCACTGTAGTTTGTGTTCTCCCAAATTAGGTTTCCCCCCTTTTTTGTTGCCTATTTATGAAATCCGCAACCGGTTTTGAAAGGAATATAAATACAAACATAAATTCTTCAAAACGTGTTGGGCTTGGCTTAGAATAAATAAAAACGCTGATCTGTATATATATATATTTAAACTGTATGTATATCCATATGTTTTTTACGATTTTTAATTTCAAAAAATTCGCTGTCGCTAAAAAGAAAGCAAACAATCTGCTCGACTGATTGACGCTTGATTTTAGTGCTAACGCAGGCACATTTACTGTGTGTACTATATGTAGTATATATATTTCAGGTATATCTCTCTGGTCATTGTCATGTCTTCCAAACGATTCTTTGTCTGCTTTTTTATTTGTATTTTTTTTTTTTTTTTTTTGCATTACGCAATTGTAGCAATTCAAAGTGCAAAATTGTGAAGAGCATGAAGCAGAGGCTGTAGTTTTATTTGATTCAGAGATGTGCCGGAATAAGCTCAGACTCGGGACGTCACTGATAAGCGTTCTGGCTCAAAGTCAAAAGTACAAGCATTCCAAAGCCGCGCCAGTAATGAGTTCAAATACAGCTCTTAAATCCTATATAAACATAGTGTCGTAGTAAATGCCCAAAATAAGGAACAAATAGAGCTATTAACTCGCATATGTACACATAATTCACAAGAGTAAATACCCGAAAAATCCGTAGATTGCCCCTGAAAAATAAAACTTCCATGGCGATAAGCAGCAATTCGGCGAAAGATAACCAACTAAACTCACTGTTATTTGCTACTTTTTCAAGTGTTGCTTGTATTTTATTCAGAAATGTAATATTTTATGTCAGGGAATATTTTTCCTATTTAAAACAAACTAATTAAATTGTACAGCGAATTCACTTTTAAATTGCCCGCCCAAATGCAGTTTGGGTTTGTGTCCCGTCTAAATGCACATTCGCCGCAGCATCAGTAATGGCGCGGCAAATTTAAAAGTCTGATTTCCAAACAACCTGCTTGCAATCGTAAATATGTACATATATTTCCACAACTTTATGCGTTTATATAGGTAATCGAACCACGCGAATTTCCATTGATGAGCCCTAAATATGTTACTGATAGCGGACTTTCCTCTTTGATAAGCCCTAAAGGCCTCACTGATAACAGCTGCGCGCTCAATTCGCCGCTCTTATAAGTTTGCTCTACTCTTATACGGCAAACACCCCTGATTTTTGAGGGCGGTTACGCGTGTGTGTGTGTGTTTGAGTCTCTTCTTCTTCTTCTTCCAGTTTCGCGCTGGGTCTTTAAGCGACGTGTGTGCTTTTGCTTGTGCTAACTAATTAATTACTTCTACTTGCAGCCAAAAATGAGTCGCATGCTAATTAAGCCCGCCGCTGCCACAATGTCTGCGGCTCTGCAGCAGCAGCAGCGGCAGCAGCAACAGCACGTCATTCGCCGCTGGAAATCGTTCCTCAGCAGCAACAACAATGGAAATCGCCGCGCGGCGAAAACGACGCTGGCAGCAGCGACTACGTCGAACAGAAGCAGCGGCCAAAGCGGCAGCGCCGCCATTCAACCGTTAGACGTCCATCGGTAAGCTCGCGAGTGAATGAATTTAGTAAAAACTTAAGCTAAGAAAGAAACTCCTCTTGCCACTTTCCGTCACAGTTCGTTCTCCACCAGCCACAGAATGCCGTCGTCCGAGAAATCGCTGTCCTTGGACAACATTAACCCCAACTTCATTGCCATGGAGTATGCGGTGCGCGGTCCGCTGGTGATTCGCGCCGGTGAAATCGAAAAGGAACTGGAAAAGGTGAGTTGGAAGTGAGAGTTATAAAAGGAAGCGGCGCGGCGCTAAATGCGACGCCATTTGTTCCCCTTTTTGATTCGTCAAATTTAATGGCAAAGCCCGCATTTAATGTCTAAGCACGCTACAACATTATTCCCATGGCGTGTCTGTGTCGCTCCCGCTGTGTTTGTGTTTGTTTTTGATGTGTTGTTTGTATGTGTGTGTGTTACTGCCTCGCTTTGCCGCCCTTTTCTTTACGCCCCAATTCGCCGAGGCGAGAACGCTGCGGGGAATCATTCACCTTGCCTTTGCACTCTCTTACTCCAAGGACACCTGTTGCTTTTAAAAAATCGAGGTAACAGGCATGAGGAAAAAACTAAATTAACCGTAAATATACAGTTTTGTGTTTACATTTTTTGCGATAACATCTGTTTCGGAAACAGAAACAAAGCAGAAATCATATGAAATAAGTTTCCACTTGGGGTCTTTGTTTATTTTCCCTTTTTATTTCCAATTTCTTTTTCAATTTCAAATTTTCTTTTTTTCTGACACAGTCTTCAAAGGTTTCAAATTATATTTACTTGCCCTTATATTGTAAATCTGAGACTCTTAACATTTTAAAGTCTTAATTTGTATTGGAATGTTTTAAAAAATAAATAATAAAATATAACATAATATTTTATAGAATTTATAACATTTAAATTATATTTTTTACAAATAGAATGTTCAGGATCCACTTAAAAAAATGCAACAATAATACCATAAAATGCGTTTATTAGTATTAGTATTCGTTTCTTTGCTAGCTTAAAAACAGAAAAAAAAAGAAAAAATTGTAGTATGAAAAAGTATAGAATAATAACTAAGAGGCAAAGCTCTGGAAAGCCAAAAGTTAAGATAACAAATGTAATCTCTTTTTGGGTGCCATAAAACAATCGAAGACTTATCTAGAAAAAACCGAAATATATTCTTTATAATATCAGCAGGCAAAGAAAAGCGCCGAAAGGCGAAAAACAAGACAATAAACTCATTAATTAGTGAATGATTTGTCCCCAGGCAGTTGGCCCAAGAACCGCATTTACTCGAGCTCTACTATAAGCTCAAAAAGCCGAGTTTTATTCCGCAGCGAGTCATGGTTTTAATTGCTAATATATAAGTATGTATATAGCCCATAGCCGCTTCTAATTAGTGTAAATTGCCTTTCTTGGCCGATGGCCCCTCAATTGAAGCCATCAACGAGTTGTGGCTCTCAGTTGCCCAATTTCAAGTTCACTGAACGACCTTCAACTTGGCTTACATAAGTGCAAAAATTGGGGGGGCTGGAAGGAGGGTGGCTAGGATGCTGCCTGTTATCATCGAGCGAAACGTGGGAAATCATAATAACAAAGGAAAAAGCAATATGCGCATGAGCTAGGGAAATGTATGGTACACACGCACGCTTTTCTCTGGATTTTTCCACATTTTTCCACAATGTTCTCTTCGAACTTTGTTGACCTGTCTTCGTCGTCTCAGTGTTTATACAAATTTACTTGTAATATATGTCTGTACATTGGTAAACTCAAATTCTGTAGACAGCACATTTTGATTCCTTGGTTTCCCGCCGTTTTTCCCGCTGCGTTTGATTTCCTTTTCCGCCCCACTGACTCTTGTTTTTGCCTTTTTACGTTTTATCAAATTCCTCCACTCGGAATCCACTTGGAGCCTTGGCACTTGGCCAAAAAGCAGATCATCTGACAGCAGCAGACATTTGCTTATCAAATGCATTTATTTCACCTTTTGTGATTGAAATCAAATAAAGAGAGATTCTTAGAGTGACGTCTTCTTCAAGGCCTTAACTTCCAACTTTAATCATTTACAAAATTTATGAGAGCATGCAGAGTAAATCGTTAATATTATTATTACTATTATTATTGTTCTCGACCTCGTTATTGCGATAATGTCAGACTTGGCAACGCCTTTATATACCAGTATATGATTACCTGCGGTTATATTCCCCCTTGTATATAGGTACTTATCAATTATACTACCACTTAGCACCAGAAAAAGTTTGTTTACAGCAAGTCAAGTGCAAATTGATTGGAAGGGCGAGGTGGAAAATATGCCAGAGAGAGTCTAAATCGATTCTAAAAGTGCGCACAGCTGCGATCAAAACAAATGAGGTGCAGTCTCTGGTGCCATAGAGCGAGATTTCTATATAGATATTTCCATATTCCAAACAAACACACACAAAGGCGATTGTTTAAATATATATATGTAAAGGTATATTATAGTAGGTAGGTGCAATCCATTCGCCCCTACTTGGCAACGCTTTTATCAGCTATTTTCGAAATTAAAAATGAAAATAATTAACAAGGTTCGATAAGGTGGCGAGGCACGTTTACACTGGGTAGAAATTGGCGAAGAATCCGGAGCAATAAATACCCCACATTCAGAACCGTGCGAATTCCTTGATTTTCCCAATAGTTACATTACATTGACGTCACTTCAACAAAGCTCACTTACATGCTGTAGCAATTTCCATTTATTAAACAGTATCCAGAGACAGGGGAACCTCCTCCTCCCCTGTCAAGTGGGACATTATGCGGTAAATTGCCCATTCGAGCTTGGTAAATGTGTTTGGAACCCGAGAAGCCGCCCGGCTCTTTAATGAATGCAGCTTGCATGTGTGTGTGTGTGTGCCCTGCAAATTGTGTGTCACTTTGATGACATTTTCCACAGTCAATTATTCTGTGTTCGTGCCTGGATAGCGTGGATAATTGGGTGCACTGAGTCCACTTTGATATGGGTCAAGACCTTTGTGAGTCGCATAATAATACAATACATTATCCTCTTTTGCTTTAGGGTTAGGTTAAGACCTACATATATATGTAGGTGTCATAGTTGCTTACCATTATCCTCTTTCTGTTGCTTGATTAACTTTGTAAAGCTTTACAGATTACAGAGATTTCTTAGGGTGTGGTTCATGTCTAGTTTAGTTCTAGGTCTTTTCTCCAAGTTTTTCCTGCTTTTAACATGCAGTGCCTTGTAAGGACACGTTTTACGGAGCTATTTCCTTTAAATTTAAGTAGCTAAGTAAGCCGAGTTAAGTAGAGCCCTCAAACTGCATTTTTAATAGTGTTTGCATTCGCTTCTTTACCACTAACTTCCTAAGCTAATTTTCTTTCAATTACCTAATTTTCTAAGCTCATTTTCTTCGATTACAACTAACGTTTCTTTGATCCGATAAAAAATGAATTGCAAAGTGCACTTTCATCGATTTACTTAGCCCTCTTAGAGTGATTACTGATCAAATCAAATATTCCAGACGGTCGAGTACTCTAATTTCCTAATTTGCTTTGAGAAACCACTCACCCACCTGCAAATTAAAAGCTCATTTGATACGCCATCGCCCTACCATAATTATAATTATAATTATAATTATAATTATAATTCAATTTGAGCAGCCAGCAAACAATGTGTAATTTCGTTGCCGTTCCAATTGAATTTGATTACAGGGCGTGAAGAAGCCGTTCGACCAGGTGATCCGTGCCAACATCGGAGATTGCCATGCCATGGGCCAGGAGCCCGTGACGTTCCTGCGTCAGGTGAGTGAATGTTGTCCATTTCCTGAATGTAAACTAAACTAAAATACGAATCCCTTTAAAGCTGATGGCTCTGACTTTTGAGAAGCGTCTGCTCGACTCGCCCGAGTATCCCGAAGATGTTAAAAAGCGTGCCTGTGCCATCTTGGATGGCTGCCAGGGACAGTCGGTGGGTTCCTACACCGACTCTGCCGGCCTTGAAGTGGTTCGTCGCCAGGTGACCAAATATATTGAGAAGCGCGATGGCGGCATTCCCAGCGATTGGCAGAACATCTACCTCACCGCGGGCGCCTCTCCCGGCATCAAGACCATTCTGGCCATGATCAAGTAAGCAAAGCAAAGCCAAAACAAATCCGGAAATTAGGTGAAAGATAAGGGGAATTTTTGGGAGCTATCCTATCTGGCAAGTTCTAAAAAGTAGCATGCTGATAATAAACTTTTTTAGAAGCCTCATTAAATGTTGAGGGATTTTAGAAGAGGTCTGTTCCAGAAGGCTTATCATAAATCCACTTCCCAGACAGGGATAAATATCATCAGTTACCCTGCAAACTTTCCCACAAATACTTACTTCAAGTTTACACTCTTCCCTTTCAGCTCCGAGGTGGGCGGCAAGCCACCTGGCGTAATGGTGCCCATTCCCCAGTACCCCCTGTACTCGGCCACCATTTCCGAGTACGGCATGACCAAGGTCGACTACTATCTGGAGGAGGAGACCGGCTGGAGCCTGAGCAAGGCCGAACTGCAGCGATCCTTTGATGAGGCTAAGAAGACCTGCAATCCCCGTGCTCTGGTTGTTATCAATCCTGGTAATCCCACCGGTCAGGTGCTCACCCGCGAGAATATCGAGGAGATCATTAAGTTCGCTCACGAGAACCAGGTGCTGATTCTCGCCGATGAGGTGTACCAGGACAATGTCTACGACAAGAACTCCAAGTTCTGGTCCTTCAAGAAGGTGGCCTACGAAATGGGCGAGCCGTATCGCAGCCAGGAGCTGGTCAGCTTCCTGTCCACCTCGAAGGGCTACCTGGGTGAGTGCGGCATTCGCGGCGGCTACATGGAGGTGCTCAACCTCGATCCCAAGGTCAAGGCCATGCTGACCAAGTCAATTACGGCGGCACTGTGCAGCACCACGGCCGGCCAGGTGGCGGTCAGTGCGCTGGTCAACCCACCGACGCCCGGTGAACCCTCCTACGATCTGTACAAGAAGGAGCGCGACAGCATCCTGGCCGCGCTGAAGGAGCGCGCCGAGCTCGTCCACAAGGCGTTGAACAGCTTCGAGGGCTACAAGGTGAACCCCGTGCAGGGTGCCATGTATGTATTCCCGCAGGTCGTGATCCCGCCCAAGGCCATCGAGGCGGCCAAGGCCAAGGGCATGGCCCCCGATGTTTTCTACGCATTTGAGTTGCTTGAGACGAGCGGTGAGTGGTGGCAAATGGTTACCCAAGAGTCTTAAATTTTAAAACGCTCTCCCAAAACAGGCATCTGCATTGTTCCTGGCAGCGGATTTGGTCAGAAGCCCGGCACCTATCACTTCCGCAGCACGATCCTGCCGCAGACGGACAAGCTGAAGCTGATGATGGAGAAGTTCCGCGTGTTCCACACCGAGTTCATGAAGAAGTACAAGTAGACGACGGCCCTCCCATTCGCTATTCCCTGCGCCACGCCCCCGTCTCGCATCCCTCTTCCGGCCCCCGCCTGCTGTGTTAGCTTTTAAAATAAAAATATTTTTTATTCGTTTTTTTTTTACTCTGTTATCGTGTCTTAACTTAAATATTTCGCCATACTGAATTCTACTGTGCTTTGATTTACTTTATTCACGAAATATACATATGTATGTATGTTAACTTGTATGAATCCCCCTGAGTTGTACGTATCCTGCGCAGGTTTTAGCCCCTGTCTCCAGTTAGCAATTAACCCAAGTGTTTAATTTTCGTAAACTATATACCTACTATATATACATTTATGTGTAGTCCTTGATCTTGATTGAATTGAATGGATTCCCCGGCAGACGCGTTGAAGCCTCTGGCGGCGAAGTGACAATAATTTTGTTGGAGCCAAAAAAGTAAGCTTTTTGTTTACTTTTGGCCCAAAATTCTGATATTGTTCTAGACGAAAGTTATATTTGCTTTACATATATACGTATACATGTTTATCCACACATACACATATTTAGCCATGCATGCGCTTAACCCGAATCGATCACGAAGAACATTTGATGTGTTGTGTCCTTTCGTCATTACTAATGTTACAGAAAAGATTTAAAGAAAAACGATGGAAAATATACGAAATAAATACATATTGTTAAATACTTAATGTACATGTGAGTTGACTTTTCAACAGGGGAGAGAACGAGCATCAGCTAATATCCTTCAGTGGTGAGATTACAAGGAATAATCGAAGGAAATACTGCTCAGGACATCAATATCAAAATGCGCCAGTGATGACTAGCCTTTCGGTTCCATGACTTATGTTCTACAAGTGTTTTACATGGATTTTTCGATATTCCATCTCGTTACAAAGTTAGATCCACAGATCTGAAACATTTTACTTTATTTCAACTTTAAAAAAAAATAGAAAAATACTTCATACTTTACTCAATAACTGGTACAAAATTCAAATTGCAAAGTCATAAGAGCTGTTTTGGAAAAACTTGCAAAAACAGACGCCTCTAAAGCTTCTTACTTTTTCCTCCATTTAAAAGAATCCCCAAGAACTTCTTCAATTCTCCCGTTTGAACAAAAAAGTAATTACAAAACAAGTCGTAAAATTTGGTTTTAAATTATGTTCAATTTATTGATCCTCTCTTCACTTAAATACTTGCACTTTCATCAATATTTATATATACATACGTGTATACATAGAAAATTCTTACGCTTTCTTTTATCCATTTCTCTTTTCATTCTCTTTGCTTAAACATTTTGTGTGGCGACAGATTTGGAGGAAAAACAAACGGGAGTTTAGAATGCGTGTCCTTTGATGTTACCTCCACCGATGCACTTGCTCATCCGCCTGTAGCTGCGCTCTTTGTGTGTTTCTGTGATGGTTGGTTGTATGCTGCACTCTCCTTTGCTTATTATTTTTTTGCTGAATTAAAGTCTACCAAAGTCTTAAAGGCTAAATACCAATATGCACCGTACGGTACAGTGGCTATACTTGCGACCCGTCCACATCGCAGGAGGCGGCTGGCTGGGCTGGGCTATGCGTTCTGGGTGCTGGATTCTGGGCTGTGTGCTGGTTCGGCTTCTGGGACGTGGGCGGGGCCAAGGACGATATTTAATTTTTTTTTTTTTTTACTTTTTACTTAAACCAAGGAATCTTTTGTGGCTCTACGAGTTGGTCGCAACTCTGTGGGTCAGTAAGTAGTGGGTGTGTGTGTGTGTTTGTGTGTCTCTATATGTATAGATATATGTGAGTGTATAGTCCAGATCGGTCTTCCTCTGCGGCCTCATCTAGTGGCGATCCCTCGAGTCAGAGCGGCTGCGACGATCGCGCGAAAAGCTACGGCTGCGTGTCCTTGAGCGCCTTGGTGATCGGGATCTGTAATGAGACGGGGGGACGTGGGACGAGGTGGTGGCGGCGATGGAAAAAACAAATTCGCAACGCACACGGGCAGGAACCAGAGAAAGATAGGGGATAGGGAGAAGAGAAAGAGAGAGAGAGAGAGAGAGAGAGAGAGAGAGAGAGAAATACAAATTAAATAGATTTTGCACTGACAATTAACTTATCAAGGCGGTGTAGTAAAGTAACAATTCCTTAAGATACGTAAAGTTGAGAGAGCCTCGATCAAACAACACACAACTTGAACTGAGCTGGGCTGGGCTGACGGATCTGGCGGATCGGATACGGATCGGAGCTGATTTTGGAGCTGAGCTGAGCGGAGCTGAGAGCTGAGAGCGGAGAGCTGGCTGTTTTTTTTTTTTTTGTTTGATTTTACTTTTGGTGAAGGCTGGCTGAAGGTGCTTGAAGGTGGTGGAGTTTTTGAGCTGATCTTATTTTTTCGGATCTTTTTTGGCCCCGTTTACGAAAGCGTTGGTGTGACATTTACATAAAGTAGTTGGTGGTGGTTGGTTGGTTGGTGGTGGTTGGTTGATTGGTTGGCTGATTGGTTGGTTGGTTGGTTGGTTGCTTAGTTGGTTGATGAGCAGAGCAGACTGAGAAGACTGTTGTTGTTGTTCTTGTTGTTGAGTTGTAGTAGTTGAGTTGAGTTGTTGTAGTAATAGTAGGTTGTTGTTGAGTTGTAGTTTGGACAGTTGATACGATACTGATACTGAGTTGATATTCTGAGCTGATTGACTGTGACTAAGGTGGTGTTCATTGTGGCTGTTGGTGGTTTTTGGTTGGTGTGTGTAGTTTTTTATTTATTTATTTTGTTTTTTTATGTGAATATTTGGTGACTCTTTCTGATCTCTGTTTCATTCCGCATTCTTGCAGTTGCAGCAGCTGAAGAACGAGGGTCGGAGATGAAGAAGCAGTTGTGGGGAAGCATCAGTTAGCAGCAAGAAGGGAGCAGGTTGGTGGTTGTAATTGTGGTTGTGGTTGGTGGTCAGTGGTGCTCCTACCATCCGCGCGTTGTGGAGAGACTTGGAGCTTGAGATGAAGACGGAAACGAAGTCTTGAAGAGGGCCCTGCCTGCTGCTGATTCTGGTGCTTGGTGGGTCGGTTGGTTGGTCGGTCGGTTGGTTCTTTGCTTAATTGGTTCGTTGGTGAAGAGTCAGACTTTGAGTCAATGCACAAACAAGTAGTACATAAGTATATATACACTGTTTAGTATATATATAGACTATACAGAGCAGACAGTTAGCTTGAACAACATTATCTCAGTAGGTGTTAGGATACAAGAACGAAAGACAAAAAAATATTAGCAGAAACCATAATAAGAAAAAATAACAAACTATTTTGGTTAGAGACGTTTACGATTACGATACGTTTTCGTTTCGTTTGCCCGTTTTCTTTCATTTTTTATGTTTTTTTGGTTTTGTTTGGGGCGCAATAAAGGAGCAAACGGGGGCTGCGAAAGGTTTCATACTTGCTGTGATTGAAGGTATATTAGCGTAAAAGCATCCTCAATCTTGATTGATTTCAAGGGAAAGGTGCAACTACTGGGTGCGGTGGAACCAACAAGAGATCTACGGCGGAACCAAAGCCCAGAGGATTGAGTTCCGTCCAACACTATTGCTGGTTCCTGCCTGAAGGCTGCCTGCCTGCTGTTGGACTGGAGTAGCTGTTGTTGCTGTTGTTCTGGTAGCCGTAGCTGAAGCTGGTTGCTGATGCTGTAGCTGCACTAGAGATGACGAGTGATGAGGTGGTTGGTTGGTTGGTTGTTTGGTGGTTTGGTTGGTTGTTTTGTTGGGGACGGAAGAGAGTCGATGGACGGAGAAGTAGCAGACTGGCTTCGATATCGAGTCAGCAGGAAGACACAGCCGAAGATCTTGGAGGCGTTGGAAGTTGACATATTGAAGCGTTGCTCAAGTGGTGAATGTATAAATATATATTCTATATATAGTTATACATATATGAGTATGCAGAGATTTGGAGTTAGATTCTTGATGGAGTTTGGCCGGTACGGTTATGGAGTTGCTCTGTTGCCGCCGATGTTGAGGACGCAGTTGATCTTTTGGTGATTAGTGTTCTTAATGGCAGATTGTTGATTGTGTGACTTTAAGGCTTGTATTTTCTTGAAGCCTGAAGATGGGGAAAGGTTAAGGATGAAGGTTCTCTAGACTCTAAAATGCATAATGATCCTTCAGCTATTAAAATATTCATTACAAATCACCACTAACCTTTAACCTATTAATTTGAATACTTATCAATTTTAAATATGGATTTTTTGCAGAAAATATTTAACTTTTCGAGAACTTGACCAAGTGTTGTTTTTTTAGGCTATCAACCAACGGCTAATTAAAAACGATCTGCATACAATTTTGCGCTTATGAAACATTTGTCAGTTGGCCAAGCAAAGCGAGACAAAGTTCAGTACTAAAAATAGATTTCAAAATCTGGCGCTGCATTGTGCTGTTTCGTTGATTATTATGCATCCCTGCGAGTGTAGACTCCCTCCGCGGGGTAAGAAATAATGGTTCTGGACAGACCAATTCAACAGGGGGACTAATGAATGATGCGAGTGTGTTTGTGTGTGTGATGTGGGTGCTCTATTCTGGGTAGTAGTAGTTGCAGAGCTGGAGACGTTGCCGAGCTGAGCTGTGATGATTGCTGATTGCTGATTCGGAGCTCAAGGTGTGGGGTATTTGGTGTTGGACTTGTTGTGTTGTTGTAACATAGTGTTGCGGTTTCGGTCGTTTGGTGATGGGTTCTGGTGTTGTGTGGTCAGCGAAATATATCGAACTTGTTGAATATCTGACCAAAGCCACACAACGAGTTGCGTCTGCAGTTGTAGTTGTTGTTGGTTGTTGAAAACATGACTACACATGGCTTTGTTGGTGGTTTTGGTGTTGGTGAAATGTGTGTAATAGGAGGAGCAGGATCTGCAGTTGTACTGGTGGTGGTAGTAATAGTAGTAGTAGTGGTGAGACGTGAAGTTGTTCTTGTAGTAGCTGTTGTTCTTGTTGTTGAAGGAAGAGGAGTAGTAGAAGTTCTAGTAGTAGTAGTAGTAGCTGTTGTTGTTGTTCTTATTGTTGTTGTGCTTGTTGTAGTAGAAGAAGAAGACTTTATCCTGCAAAATGATTGGTGAGACCACATTAAAATTGGCTCCAAGCGTTCGTTTTACTTTATATATTTTTGAAAAGTTTTTTTTTCGCTAAAAACACAACAAACAAAAGGTTTTTTTCTCTACAACTCTATTATCATCTTGTACGCTCTACGGTTTTTGTTTCTATGTTTTTCTTTTTTTATTGAATTTCCTTTGGCTTTTGGTGCGAAATGAAAATTGATGAGAAAGCGCATTGAAATGGTTTGAATTGACCAAAAATCGACCGAATTATTCGTATCAAGCCTAGCATTTGCCCTCGACTGTGTGTGGACACCACTGTCCGTGTGCCCACAGTCTTGGACGCGCGCGCATACTACTGCCTGTGTGGGTGTGGGTATGTGTGTGCATGTTTATGTGTATATGTGTGTGTGTAATTTTGCTGGCCCCGCTTTCGTATGTATACGCGAATCGATTTTTCTCATGCATACACACACGACAGATCAAATATATACGTATTTTTTCCGCATATATGAATGCAAATATGATTCATAATTCCCCCGGTACTCACCTATAGCGTCCGCCGCCATCGCCAGCTCGAGTTCCGCCGCCAGCACGGGCTCCTCCGCCGCCTCCGCCTCGCGCTCCGCCGCCACCTCCTCCGCCTCCGCCACCACCGCCGCCGCCACCGCCTCGTCCTTCGCGAGAACGGCCCGAGGACATCTCGACGCGGATGCGGGTGCCACAGCAACGGGTGCCGTCCAGGCCGCGGGTCGCGTCCTCGGCGTCGCGGCGATCCTCGAACTCCACGAAGGCGAAGCCGGGCGGATTGCGGGCCACCCACACGTTGCGCAAGGGTCCGTACTTGCTGAACGCATTCTCAATCTCGTACTTGGAGGCCGAGGAGCCCAGGTTGCCCACGTAGACCTTGCAGGCCAAGTCCCATTCCCGATAGCGTGGCATCTCTCTGAGAATTTGTGTATCTGTGTGTTCCTTTCACTAGCTTGTCGCTCCTTCTTTCCCGTGTCCGGATTTCGTCCCGGGCTGCCAGGTGCCGAGTCTGTTCTCTCCTGGTGTCCGGCTCTTTGATTTTACAATGTGGAAGGCAGCTGCTTGCCCGTGAGTTTGCAGTTTTTCTACGCAGCAGCAGCGAACACACCCAAGCCAGAAAAAAATTTACAAATTTTGCGGAAAAAAGATGGCGTTGAACTAGGGATGGTCGCAATTCGAGCTAAAGACAGCGCTGTAGCTATCGATACATCGATATTAATTATATAGCAAATATTTTCATCAGAATTTGGATATACCTGTTTTTATACAGAAACAGGGGCTGCGTTTTACATTAATTGCAGAACTGCCATATATATCCTGGAAAAAACCAGCCATAAAACATTGATGGTAAAGGCAATCGATGTTTTGCAAAAGGCGATATATCGCTTATGAATTATCGACGGTCGCGGGGCGGTCATACTGCCAGCTGTCCCTATTATTTAATATAGGCACATTAATTTTGGCACATTTCATTTTTGGAGAAACTTCAATAAAATATCGAAACACAAAATGGCCAAGAGCCCGGAATCAATTGCACTGGAGCAGCTTGACAAGGATCAGATGAAGACGGTGAGTGGGCGGCAGTACTTGGCGCGTGAACTCCTCCCAAAGGCGGCGGCCAAGTGATGAATGAATGTGGTTTTGTACTTGACTCAATTTCCTCCTGTGCAGTTCTCCGACTTCCTGATGTCCTACAATAAGCTGTCCGAGATGTGCTTCACAGACTGCGTGCGAGACTTTTCCTCACGGGTCGTGAAGGAATCGGAGGTGAGTACTCCCCTGATCTTTGGAACTCATTCGGTCTGTCATGCGTGTGTGTTTGCAGGACAAGTGCTCGCTTAACTGCATGGAGAAGTACCTGAAGATGAACCAGCGCGTCTCGCAGCGCTTCCAGGAGTTCCAGGTGATCGCCAACGAGAATGCCCTGGCCATGGCCCAAAAGACTGGCAAACTTTAGATGGTTTTTAAATTCTAGCCTAACTAGTTTAGAATGTTGAGAGATGATGCATTTTTGCTGCATTTGTCAAAATAGCTGAGTAAAGGACGATTTGAAGATGTTAGCCCGGAGTTGCTATTCGATAATTGTGGTACTTTATTGCTGATTGATTGGTGATTGATTACGGTCTAGAGATCTTGTTTGAAAGACACAAGTGTGATCAGAAAGCGAACTGGAACAGGGTCTTCTTCCTATTCTTGTTTCGTTCTTTTTAGCGTTTCAGCCTCATGGACAGTTTATGATAGAATCGGGGGTGCCGCAGCTGCTTACGTGCTACTTAGTTATGCCTACAACTACGTTTAAGTAACGTTAAGACAGGGCCGTAAGCAAGTCCTCCGTTCCGTAAACCGGGCAACCGGAAACCGGACCCCGGAACTGACTACGGCGATCTCTAAACTAAGGTTTAATGCGCAGAAGCCATCGCCTGTGGCTTGCTACTCAATACTTAGGGCTACACACGGTTAGACGGTTCGCCGATGCGTGGTTCTTTCATTCGCTGGATGGGTTTGTCCTTTCAATGACTCGTGGTGGCGGCCTCTGACTGAAAGCCCTCAGCCTCTGTGACCAGGGCGTATTCAAGGATCACGCGACCTTCCTTGTACCTGCAGGAAATACAGTTATGAGTTAGTAAACGCTCTTATCATCATAATTTGACCAAGACTGGAGCCAACTTTCATACCTGCAATCTTTTCTACTCCCTTAACATACAGATAGACATGAAAATGTTACAAACTGGCCTGTTTCTTAAAAAACGGACGACTTTAAGACCAGATACAACTTGTTAAAGATAAATAACTTCTTTAGAATGAGCAAAATGAGCTTAAATTTTGTTTTGATGCCGAGTTTTGTACACATTTTGACATCGATGTCTTTGTTGAAATTGGTCTGACTGGATTTCTGTCATATTTTCTAGTTACTGTTTACTTTAGGCACTGCTCCTAGAGATTCTACTGGCCTTGCTGCGTAACTGCAGCTTAAAGTTACAGAATTGTTGAGCTCCAGGCTTTGGGATGCCAGGCTTTACCCACTTTTGCGACTCCTCCGTGGCGAACTCGTACATCCAGCCCAGTTTGGCGCCGCAGTTTTTGCACATGACATCGCGCACCATGTGGCGGCCTGTGAGCATCACCCGCTCCTGGATGTTGCTGAAGGTCAGGTTTACCACGCGCTTAAACAAATAGGCGCGTCCTGGAAGAATGACAAGGTCAAAAAGAGTTATTGCATAATCTGGCGGCGGGCGGATGTCTCTTACCCGTGGCGCCTGTGAAGCGTGTGCTGATCAGCTGGCTGCGATTGGTCAGGTTCGTGTGACACTGGGCGCAATTGAAGAGCTTGAGGCCCCCGAGATGCTCCAGAAAAATGCGTCCCATTGTGCTCCCTCTCGCTCTGCGACCTCTGCCTCTCTCTCGCTCGCTCGTTCGCTCTGCCCCTGTGTGCTGTGCGTGTGCGGGCGGTGAGTGTGTATGGGTGTAGGTGTGCGCGTGTGTGAGGAGTCGAGTTCCTTTGTTCCTATGCGGGAATAATGCGGGGATTACTTTGGGCCTTGTAACGCTCCTCCTTATCTCTTGACTGCTGCGCTTTTGTTTTGGACTCCCACCAACAATTGCGATCACACTGGCACGGCAGCCCCAACAGTGGGGTGGCCTTTCCAGCTGTTTGTGAGTGCAGTTGGTGGCATCGAGGCCGTAATTTGGCTGACTTACGCACTTGCAATCCGATGAAGATAACCAATTTGGGTTTTTAGAAATAGATGATAATGCGACGCTTGCAAAAAAAAAATCAACAAACGCAGTGGAATGCTTTCTAGGGTTGTCGCTGTGTTCTCCGATATCGATACAATATTTATCGGAACTCACAACAGTTAGGGATGGAGAAAAGAATGTCGTTAGACTATCAATGTTTCCTACGCGAGTTTCAGACTAATATATATACTTTAAATCACTAGTTACGGGCTTAACATTATTTTAAGAATGGTTAAGGATGCAAAATATACCCCAAATAGTAAATTAAAAAGTTTAATTAAAAATAAATAAATATGTATGAAAACCCTAACTATTCCTGTAAACGAATTTGTGCGTTTTTATTTAGCCAACGCCGGCGCTTATAAAAGAAAATTCATTTTTGATATGCATAGCAAACTAGTTTTAATTTTATTCAAATTTTGTTGGTACCCTTAAAAACTATCGATAACTCGAAACCGTCCAGCCCTGGGCCCAACAGCTGATTGCTACACGTGATAGGTGTTGTTGTTGCTGCTGTCGGCTCTCTACTGTTGTTGTTGTTGCTGTTGCGTGTCCGAGTTGCCTTTCAAAAGTCAAAATTTAGCAAAATTCGAAAGAAACGAACATGCGTGTACATTTTTAAAGGGACACCCCCGAACCACCGTTATTTCACACCACCCGAAACTGCCTCAACCCGCAACAGCAACTGTAGCCGCAACCGCATCCCTTGGACACCTGAGGAATATGGCTGGACCGCTGCTGACCGAGGGCTTCTAACAACATCAATACAATAACAAACGGGACACGAGAGGTGGACATTGCCTTGAGGACTCAATGCAATCGTTGCGCAGCTGTGCGGCCCGTGGCCTGCTTCTCTCCAGCGCCGTTCGCGGCTCAAGCCCGCGCAGTCTGCGCATCAGTTGGCCTCGGAGGAGCGGAACACCATCAGGAACTGGAGCCGGAGTGGGAGCTGGAGCTGGCACTGGAGAGACTGCCAGGATTGGCTTTGGAGGCGCCCTGCAAAAGCTGCGCGAGCTGCATACAGTTGCGTTTAGCAGCCGCTTCCTGCTCTTCACCAACCTGGGCATCTCGCTGACCCTCAGCTGCGTGGGCGATGTGCTGGAGCAACACTTCGAGATCTATTGCAAAGAGATCGAACGCTTCGAGTCCACCCGCACGGCCCACATGGCCATTAGTGGTGTGACGGTGGGCGTGATCTGTCACTATTGGTACAAGATGCTGGACAGGCGAATGCCCGGTCGCAGCATGCGCGTGGTGGCCAAGAAGATTGTGCTCGACCAGTTGATCTGTTCGCCCATCTACATATCGGCCTTCTTCGTCACTTTGGGCCTGCTGGAGCGGAAGGACAAGCATGAGGTTTGGGAGGAGATCAAGGAGAAGGCCTGGAAGCTCTACGCTGCCGAGTGGACCGTGTGGCCGGTGGCGCAGTTCGTCAACTTCTACTGGATCCCCACCCACTACCGCATCTTCTACGACAACATCATTAGTCTTGGCTACGATGTCCTCACCTCGAAGGTGAAGCACAAGCAGTCGCATCCGCACCTCAAGAAGCTACCCTAGCCCCACGCCACTCTCTGTCCCTTTTTTTTTACTATTTATTTCAAAGCCCAACTCCTTGTAAATATAGACGAGTCCATGTTGTACAGACCAAGCACTGGCATGTGTGTATTATTTGGTTGTTGGGTTCCGGTTAATTTAAACGGAGAACCAGTTGCCATAAAGGACAGTTGCCTGCCGGCCAGCTTGCAGACGGGCAGGAAGAATCGAAATGGAAGCGGGAGCAACAGCAGGAAGCCCGAGCCCGTGTGCCATCTCTCGCTGCCGATGACGCACATCAGAATAAGAATCTCGGTGCGATGGCGATAAGAGTTTCCCTCTAGCAACAGCACCGGCCTGGCTGCTGGCAAACAGGCGATGTCAGTGGTGATTGGAGGCGGGGTGCCAGGCCAGGCCCACCTTATGCGTCTTCTTTCCATCTGATAAGCTCTGCTTGGCAGCCACTTCAGAATTTGCGGCACATTAAAAATAAATCAGGCAACAGCTCGAAAATACGTAGCTATAAATATAGATGGGGAGGGACACGTGAGGTATTTCTCACGAGAGACTTGACTTTCAAAGATTCTAACTGGAATCTATATTAATTTCATAGCTAATTGGCAAAGAGAGCAAGTAAATTATGGTAAATTAATTAGCAATAATTAACAGGTGACAAATGGATATATAAATAAATGCTGAAAGGATTCTCAATAATATGAGCTTTTGACTGGAATCATTATTAATTTAATAAGCATAAAACATACTTTTTGAAAAGGAATTGATAACCAGTGGTTTGTCTGGAATCAAACTTTAGTAAAAAATGATAATCCTTCTTTTTAGATAACACATAGTATAAAGTTGAAGAATTCTTTGTCTTTTGTTAGTTCAGCCTTATCATATCCCGAAATACTTTGACCATACGTCATCCCTCCTCCAGAAACCACCCAGCACTTATAGTATTTTATATACCTTTCATATATCTTATATACTATATACTATTCTTCCCCATATCCATTAATGACATGACCAGCAGGCCTAAGCTCTTATCTCGTTGAGTTTGCTTTTCATTTCAACAGCGTTTAATTAGAATCGTGCTTGACATTGATAATGAAAGTTGCCAAAAAAAAAAAGCCATGACAAATGAAGGTAGGAATCAGCAAAGACCCAGTCTCAATGCCATGTGGCAACGAAATCGAGTTCCTTGGCGAGCGTATAAATTCCGAGTCTCTTGTCTCATCTACTCCAATGTATTTCGCGTTCGATTTATTTGATTTTGCTTAATTTTCGCATAAATGTATTTGTGTCTGGCCTGGCGGTTCACAAACAAAAAACGAAAATGTAAAAATACCAGTCCCCCGGTACCTTTTCGAACCAGTTTTGTTTTGTTTTTTCTTTGACTGAGAAGATTAATTTTTAGCTTAGGTAGCGAGATTTAATCTTGTTTGTTTGAGACCGTTTTTCTTAAGAATTAAATATAATAATAATATAATTAAGAGTTCGTGTTGGGAACTTTTAAATTGATTTTAGCGAAGTTCTATTTATGAAATAAGTGCCAAAATTGTTCTAATTATTATTTAAGAACCAAGAAACTGAAAAATCTGTTTATTTAGAATTATATTAATAATTTTATTCATGGTATAATTTTCCTAAAACAAGTTTAGGAAAATCATTTGTTTATGAACTGTTTTATTATTATTTGGATTAAGCTGTCACGTTCTTAAAAATAATGAAGCTTCAGGAGCATCATTAATTATAATCTCTTCTAAAATACTTTTTAATTTCAAAACATTTTGTTTAAATGAAATGAAATGGAAGCTTCGATGAGATAACACTTTGAATTTCACAACTTGTTTGTGCTAACATGGCGTATACGTGATGTGTAGTGGAAAGATAGTTCTCGTAAGTAGGAGACTTTTATCTAGGCTTCGAATCAAAATTGGGAATCAAAGCATAAAAGTCTCCACAAATTCCCAATGCTTGCATGTTCCCATCAAACATATCTGCTGACGCACTGCGTCATCTGTCGCGATCCATGAGATAATCCACTCCCATCGCTCAGAGCTCTCGGATTGGTTGGATTTCAGGGCTCGTCTGTCCGCTTGTGGTCTCGCAGCAAAGATATATGAAAACAAATACGTACAATACATAAATATATGCAGAAAATTCATATACACAAGGAGAAAAATATGAAAAGCCTTAGAATTGTGTTAATTTTATAAAGTAACAAGAAAGAAAGCTAACTTTGGCCAGCCAAAGTTTGTATACCCTTGCAGGTAACAATAAAAATATATCATAGCTAAGCCAAAAATGCATTAATTTCGATTCGGAAAGCAGTTTTGTGTTAGTTTTTATTAATTTAAAAAAACTGCATACCAAATTTAAAATTTTAAGAAATCAAAATTTTTGGCCATTTTTGCTAATTGTAATGGTGTTACCCCTTATCAAATTTCGCAAAAATGGCCAAAAAATCGATTTCTTCAGGACATGTCTAGAAATATTCGCATGTTAATGCTGATCAAGAATATATATGGTTTATGGGGTCGGAAATGATTCCTTGACTTAGAAAAATATTATTTTGTATTATAAAATCTGATTTATATAATAAAAACTTCTTGATTTTTTCTAAAATTAAAAATATCATAACTCGGCCAAAAGAGCATTAATTTTAAATCGGAAAACTGTTCTGTGCAAGATTTTCTACAGTTAATACATCTGCATACTTCATTTAAAAATTAAAAAAAATCAATTTTTTATCAAAATCAAAAATTTTAATGATGTAACCCCTTATAAAATTTTGCAAAAATGGCTAAAAAATCGATTTCTTCCTGACATATCTAGAAAGAATCCCCTGTTGATGCTGATCAAGAATATATATACTTTATAGGATCGGAAACGTCTCCTTCACTGCGTTGCAAACTTTTGACTGAAGTTATAATACCCTGCAAGGGTATAAAAACCTATCCAGATTGAAGTGTTGATAATTTTCTAGGATATAAAAAGGAGTTTAGAACTTAAGTGTGTCCAAAACTGTGTTTAAGTTACTTTAATTTTAACTCTAATTATAACAATATTTTGGCTTAAATCTTTAGAGACCTTCTTGTAAAATTAAGCCCCTCAGAATCTTAAGTTATACTCTTGGCATTGCCTCGCAAAGTAACTTAAAATTTTACTGTGTAAACATATATATACGTATATTCCGAGGCGGGTTATATAAACTAGCGGTGCGGAGCAGAGCGGGATCGGCAAGTGGAGAGCAACACACGCTGGCTTTCGCAAAAGAGCCAAAGAGTCAGAGTCGCAACGGGCAAAGAGCGCAAATAATTTACGCAACCGGCGGCAGAACAGGTGCCATGGCACCCATACACACATTAGGCGCTCGTCCATGGAGATCTCTGCTGGTATTTGGCTTTGGTTTCTATATACATATATCATTCAAATTGGACACTTGTGGACGACGATCTGGCGCTGTGGCGTTGAGGCGATGTGACGCTGTGCCGCCTTTGTTTGACTGATTTACTCTCTGCCAACTAGGCACATTTTTTGTGTAGTAGTCGTGTTTTTTTTTTTACATATTTATTTCTTTATAATTCGAGTGCGCCCGGCAAGCCACGCGCAAATAAATTGCTACTCCGCCGCTCGCCGCCAAAAAGGTGGCATAAATTCAGAGATTCAGAGAGAAAAAATGATGAACTTGTTGCTGACCCGTCTCGTGCAAGGGAATTTGGGGGAAAAATATGCCCCGAAAGTATGCTTCTATTTTGGGCAGCTAAAGGATGTCCTGCGTTTCATGAGAAGGGTTTTCTGCGAATATGTATATTTATATATTATATTATATATATTTAATAATCGTTTTATTTACACCTTTGATGAGTTGAATAGATAAATAGTTTTAACAATGGAGTTTCAGAAGATATAAAATTATTATATATTATATTAGTTCTAAAAAAAATTCTTTAATAATATTTTATATATATTTATAACTTTCCTTATAAGAATCAATGCCCACCTCTTCTATTTATGCCTTAAAATACAATTATTATTACTTTCTTTACTATTATCTTATAAATTGTTTGTGATTTTTGTAATTTATATTTGAATCCATTATCCGACCATCTATACCCTCATAATACCCTGCAAGTGTCGCATGGCAGCAACAAGAGCCGGCCAAAAAGTAAGAGCTTCACAACAAAAAGCACACCGTCTCAAACTAAACGAGTGTACATATGAGAGGAGAGCATAAACAAGAATTTATATATATATGTACGTATGTGGGTATTGTATATAGTTTCTTTTCGTTCCCTTTTATTTTTTGTATCGACTTGGAGAGCCACACGTGTCGCAGACTGGGCGGTAATGCCTTCTTCAATATCATTATCACCGCTTCCACAGATCTCAGTGACTCCTTTTTGGGGATTCTTTGCGTAAAGCAAAAGAGGGGCTCGTCCCGGGCACGCGACTTGAGAAGCCACAAAAAGCCATAAAGACCGATCGTTAAAAGATCGTAAAGCCGTATGATTGCGACGCTGGTATATTATTTAGTTTTTTCTCTTTGTTGTTGACTTCTCCGGCTTCTATCATTCTTTTCTTTTTCCTCGTCCCCAACCTTGAAAAAGCTTAAGCAATTTCGGAAGATCGACCAGCGAGGGTGGAAAAGATACGCGGGAAAAAACATAGAATCAATAAGAGAGATAGTCGGGGCAGCTGGTAAACAGCAGAAATTCTGCTCTTTTTTTATATATTTATTTGCACTGCTATTTGGCTATTTTTGAATGCCAAAGATCGACAGTGAAAATCTTTAGACGGACGTCGAGACCTTGGGCAGTAAAAAATGTATCCCGAGATGCGGACAAGAAAATAAAGAAAGCTCGCGTAAGCAAATAAATCACTTGCCAGAGCGCCCACGATTCTTGGGCACCATAAATATCCAGTCTATATATTATGTACAGTGCGGATTTCCATAGAAATGTGACCGAAATTGAAGCCATAAATTCGGGGGAAAGAGGTTGATTTATAAAGGGATCATTAGAGATTATGGATTTTATATAAGAATTACAAGAACAAACTTTACACATGCTAATGCTTTTTTTTCCTTTAATCTTTTCTCGCTCATGACTTTATGGTTGGTTTTCTGACTTCTTTGGTTAGAAACGCATATAATTTTGACCAACAAGTGCTAAATTCTTAATACTGAATCCATTTTAAATTAAAAGCAAATAGTGGGTATAACACACAACCAGTTACCCCCTTTTGAGAGCTCCATCTCTCCTCTGGAAGTAAATAACCTCTTAATATGGCCACAGTCAAATGATAAAAATAAATAACTACCTAATAAATGTCGCAATAAATGCCGCTCGCCGGCTGAGGGAAATGCAAATAAATCTGGGAAATCGCCTGACTAATTATCTCGCTCTGACATCCGGATTCATAATATCCCAGGATGACTTGCGTATCCATAATCAACACGAATGACTAAATGCGTTATCACTGTTGTTTTGGCCGTGAATAATTTGTCAGGAGGTGTGGTGAATGCTGATCAGGATGGATCGGGGATCGGGTGTCAAGGGGAACAGTATCTCTCCGGCGATAAAACCGATCGCGATCATGTGCTTCTGCTGCCGCTTCTGCCCCGGTATCTGTATCTGTATCCGTATCTGTATCACGGTTTTATCTCTGCCGCTGCTGCTGCCCAGTGACAGCCAAAGCCCCGGAAACGTGTATCTTGTGATCGCCAGAGGGAGTGGCCGTCCGTACTGGAGGAGGTAGCTGATATGGCTGATACTAGCTGCCCGCAAATATTTTCGGGGGGGCGTGTGCCGTACCCGCGCCGCTCTCTGACGTCAATGGAAAGGAAGATCCATCAGCTGACAATGCTGACTAAGGAAATGCGAATTTATATATTTCGTTATTGATAATAATTTAAGCTAAGTAAATCTGTTAGATAAACATATCTCGAAGTATGCATTTCCCACTGTTAGTACCGACTTTGATCTCAGAGCGTGGCCGAGTTTGTGAATATTTGGCGCTAAATATCGGAACTGGTCATCCGATTGGAACTGCGTCGTTCGGAGAACCCTTTACCCCCTGGATCGGATCGGAATTGGAATCAGAATCGAAATCGTATTGAGTTTCCCGGCAGGCGGAGGGCGTAGTGCGGTGGAGCGGTGCCACCATTCCAATTACCTCGACACAGTTGGTTGCGATTAATGCGGCGCTCGGTTTTGACGTCACCAGTTGCAGTCAGCCCCCGTCGTTGTGTCCTCCGCCCCTGATCCCTTCGATTAAGTGCGTAATTTACGAATTTTAAAATCTCCCAAACGAATTTTAATGGCGACTCTGTAACAGGGGAGTACATTTGGGGAAAATATTTACGAAAATCCTACAAACAGGCATGAGAGCATCTCGGATGACGCGGTCGACTGTCGAGTGACAGCGAAAACAAATTCCCGCAGAAAGTCAGCAAAACAATAACAATAACAGAATAACGAGTGTAACGAACAAAACAAGTCGAAGCAAAAAAAATATGTGACCACAGGGCGGCAGGGGGTTAAGGCAAGCATATTGCGTATACGCCGTGTGGTGCGCCATGAATTCCGATGCCCACAGGCGGGTGCCAGCCATCGAGTAAATTCAAATGGTTTGCTTTTAAAAATAACTTTTTTGTATAATATATTTAAAATAAAATATTAAAATCAGTTTAATTTTATTATTAGAAGCTCGCCTACTACCCCGATTTCTTATTTTCGCATACAAGTGTGACTATTATTTTGCACCGAGCTGTTTGTACCTTCATCTGTGTTTGTATCTGTATCGGTGTTTGGGGCTCGTTTCAGGCGAACGGGCCTCCAAAACACACACATACAGGAATACACACCGACGCGAATGCGGAGAGCCATTCGAGACACACCTCTTTATCACACACACACACACAGGCATTGCGTCCTTGATCGTGCACAAAAACAATGTAAGCAGTGTAAGCAGTGCAGCAGTTCAATGACTTTTGCTCTCGTTTCACTCGTTAAGATATGTAATATGCAGTGTAACGAGTTGAGTTAATGTAATATGCAGTACGGGAAGTTAGTTCACGCCCCTTTATTTCTCTCAGTGAACGACACCTTGACTTGTTATTGTTTATCTGTTGGTTAGTTACGTGCTTCGCTGGAAATCGTTTATCAAGTTGTTTTTGCCAGATTCTGTTTTCCAAGGGTTTTTTGTTGTTGTTGTTTTCGAACGCTCGAGGGTAAAAACCCATACAAAAAATAGGACGTCCGTATTGTAATACCTTTGAAATATCACATAAATTATACAAACTATACATTTTAAATATAATGGTTTTTTAATAAATTAAACGATTTGTCTTTTTAAATAATAAGTCCTGCTTGGACGTACTTTTTTGTACGGTGTACGTCCCTTTACCTTGGCCCAAATAGCATCGGCATATGGATATCCTGATGGCGTGAGCAAAAGAGAAAAGGAGACTACCTACTGAAGGTCGCCCACTACAACAACTGGCGCATGACCTAGTGACCAGAAGCCCAGTGAGAGATAGAGAGCGACCGACACACATTACAACTGGTCACCGGGTAACCGAGTGGGAGGCGAGCCCCCGCCCGCACTTATCCATCGTCTATCTCGCTCCGGCGTGCGTACATTGACATTGAAAAGCGCTCAGAGGAAAATGAAGAAGAAGAAGCAGAAGAAGCCGCTAATTTATTTGTTTATCAACCAGTTCAGCAGCCGAAGAGCAAGAGAGGGAGAGTCGGAGAGGGCGAGAGGCAACTAGAAGGAGAGCGATGTAATAAGTGGCTAGCTCTTCAACAGATCGCGCTCTCACTGTCCCGCTCTTAAGTTACGTGAAAAAATCTTACAAGCTTACACATTAACGAATTACAAACTTGTTGCCTCTTATCACGGCAGCGATCGTGATGCGGCTGATTTAGATATTGCATCAGCCAGGATTAGAGGGAGATTTCGTCTGTCAAATCCGTGTTTTTCACAATCTCCTAAACACACACACACGCTCGCACGCGATTATCGTTATCAGTTGGGAAACTACAGGCAGGAAGAAAACAGGAAAATAAAAAATCTAAAGGGAAACGTGCACGTCATCTTGCGGCCGTAAAACACACACAGTTTTCCCCACACATTTTCCATTCATTTATTATTTTTGCGTGGTAAAAAAATGGTAAAGAAAATCGAATGATTTTAGGCAGGTAGCGGCAGAAGATGAAGGCCAAGAACAGGCAACGGAGAAAGTGACAACTGATAACATGTGTGCGTGGAACAAGAAAATCCCTACATCAAATGTCCTGCCGACTGTTAAAAGAAATCAATCGAGATATGATCGATATTTGTAACGAAGGATTAAACTAACTCTAGTTATAAGATAAAAGAACTTTAAAAGTTTAAGAGAAATATGTACATAGATCATTTTTTACAAAATGTGTGAAAATTCTAAGCCAAAAAAATTTGTTTAAAATAATTATGTATGTAATTTTAATTAAATTTAAGAAACTTAATCTTTTTTCTTTTCTGCTTCAAAATACATGTATTAGTGCCGTTCAAAAACTATTACTTAAATACGAACCCACTATATAATATACCGGCTAGAACATATGCCTTTGTGTGCTCACCGTTTTAATGGAAAAGTACACACGAGCGGCGCAAACAAAGAACTAGAACCAGAAGAGAAACCGTCCGAAAAATCCAAAACTCAACTCGAAGCAAACATGTCAGCAAGGCCAAAAAAACCGAAAAATAATTGCCCGAAATTGTCGAGGCAAAAACAAAAAGCCAGCTAAAAAACGAGAAAAAATGCCCGCCGAAATCGGCGATCGCTGCGCCCAAATAAGTATGCGCAGCGGAGCTCATGGGGGGTATACACCGCCCCTACCCACAACCACCCGCACCGCACCCCCCCCTCACGAAGACCGAGGCGATCGATCGCGAAGAAACCCGAACAAAAGCCGAAATCGATTCGGTTTAAGGGAGCGACCGAAAAATCATTCGATTTTCGGCAACTTACATTTTGGCTACACTGTCACAACAAATGTACAATACAAAACGTTTTAAAAATATTGACTGAAACACCGGTATTTAGAATAATCTCTTGTTCAGGGTAGAGTTCAAATATATTCATTTTCCAAGAAGACTGTTGTTTTGAAAGTACTTATCAGTTACTTAAAAAATATACTATTAGTTGTTATTAAAATCCATGATTTGTTTATTATTGCTTTAAGAAATTAATCAACAAATTACTTTGAATAATAAGGTGTATAATAAATTTTGTGTTGACTACGTCGGTTGTGCTTAAAAAACAAAGAGTTTTACTTTTTTTTATTAAATTAAACTGTAAATTAAATTTTATTATGGGTGTTTTTTATATATGTAAGTATGCCCTCCTCCTGATCAATGATCAATATGTAGGTTTATTTTTTATATTTGAACAGGTGATGAGCTATAGATTTTTACAAAAACTGAAGCGTCAGCTTATTTTTGTTAATTTTACTAGTCATATTCACCGTAGCATTGTACATATTTTAATGACAATAACAAGAATTTATAAGAGAGTCGCAGTTTTGTATCTCATTTAGCGATCTATCTTTTCAACTTTTCTAGCGCAGTGTATATGGTTCTCACTCGCTCGCAGGCCGCCCGCTCTCTTAGCGGCCATTCCTGCGCCGCGCTCTTAAAAATGGCGCTGGGACGAACGGTAAACGGGGCGATAATCGTACGACCCACACGCACACAGGCGCGCGCCAAGAGCTATACATAGAGGAGCGCTCGGCGGCAGAGCTCATTTCTTGCAGAGACTTCGTGCCGTTCAGATCGAGTGAAAGGCAGAAAAGAAAGCAACTCGAAGCCACATCGAATCATCGAGTGAAAGACAACCATTTTTTTACTGTGCAAAGTGCAGTTCGCTCCGCGCAATTACAACATTACACCCACACACACGTAGCCAAATCGGTTCGCGAAAGTGCGACACAAAGTGCAAGTGCTAGAAGCGCCGCAAGAGCTCGAGGCGAAGAGCAACAAAGAGAGTTAAAGAGTCTGCAAGAGCAGATCCAGAAAGAAAGAAAGTTACACTGCAAAAACCAACAAGATGACGACCAAAATGGCTATCAACGCTAAGGTTTGTAATCAAAATCAAAAAATTCGAATACCAAACATTACTATCTCGCGTCGCCGCCTGTTTCCAAGCAACGCCGAAAAAAGCTGAAATCTCGGCAAGTTAGCAACAGACAGAAATCGAAATATTGGCGGTTCCCCTATGAATATATGCAAATCACGGCGACGCTCGCTTCATCTGTTTATCAACGCACGACAAAATTAAAATAAAGAAAAAAAAAACTCACTATAAATAAGAATTCCCAAATTCACTTTGAACTTGAGATAAAAGAAACTGAACAGAACACGGTTATAAATTTATGCAAAAGGTTACAAGATTAATAAAGTGTCAGAATGGATTTAACTATGATCTAAAAAAAATGATTTTAATCGTGGTCTAAAAAAATTTAAAAAGTGTATTGCTAAGCTGTGTTCTAAAAAGGTTTTGAAGTAATATATTTATTTTAAATATTTCTTCATTCTACAAAGTTCTAAAAAGGTTTTAAAGTATAATATTTATTTTTTAATTAATATAAAGATTTAGCTAACTTAGTGGGCTAAATATTTATTCAGTCCACAAAGTTCTAAATTTTTGTATGTCAAACTTTTCCATAGCTCTAACCACTGGACTTGGCCTTATAGACACAGATATTATTTCCGAACAATCTGCCACGCTCCCAGCTCCAGACCACTTATAAATAGAACCCATTAATGTTTTATTTTGGACATTTATGGCCTGTCGTTATCGCCCTGCCCCTGATTCCTCGAATCCCTCGCACTTGCCAGATAAGCTTCACCCTTGAATGGGCAGACATGTAGACGACACATTCGATTCTTCTGTGGCGCCCAATTTTTCAACGGGTTTCTCGAGTTTTCAAATAAATCTAGTTCGTTATTTTTGGCTGATGCAATGCCGACCAGTGCTGACAACAGTTCGGACCACTTTGTTAGTTTAGTTTAGTTTAGTTATTTTTTGGCTTAGCCGATAGTTTGGGGCGATTTCATCAGCCATCGAGATCCGCCAAGGAGACCGGAGATCAGATCGGCATCAGCAAAATATACGAAATACGGCCGTAGATTAGCTCTTGCCGGAACCGAATCTAAACTGCTGACTCTCGTCTGACCCGGAATGTAGACTATAGCCATAAACTGGGGAGTTACATCAGTCCAAGCCCCGCCAACGAGATCGTCTGCCTTGCAAATTGGAAATTAATGAATGTGCAAATCATTTTCGGGGGTCCGGCGACAATGCTTTCGGGTCTAGACCCCGAAATTAGCATACCATCATTTAATGAGAAGCGAAGATTTATTGCCCTACCACATGTGGAACGACTAAACCCTAAGCTTAAATATTTATTACAAACTTAAATAGAAATATAAAAATAAATATAACCACAAATATGGCAACCCTCTTTACACATTAAATGTATTTATTTAACATTAAATATTGCTCTGGGTATTTAGATCTCTTGTTAATGCTTATGTCTGCCCTTGTCATCCTGCAGGATATTTTCCGCAACCAGCACCGCCTGATCCGCTTCATCGAGAAGTCCATCCGGCTATGCAGCAATCAGTCACTGAAGGCCGCCCAGCAGCAGCATCAGCAAAAGTCGTCGGCCGACTTCCAGATCACCGCCTCCGTGGACACACAGTACGCCAGCGGTGCCCCAGAGCCCATTAAGCATGACAAGGATCTGGGCCATCAGTTCCGTGCCTCCCAGCTCTCCGTGCGCTTGGCTGCCCCCGAGCAGCTGCACGCCAAGCCGGACAACGACGAGGAGCTAGGCTTCGGACGCCTCTTCACCGACCACATGCTAAAGATCTATTACCATAAGAGCCTAGGTGGCTGGCAGAAGCCAGAAATCACGCCGCTGGAGAACCTGGTGATGCACCCGGCCGCCAAGGTGCTGCATTACGCTGTCGAGGTGAGCATTACTTCTGGTGTATTCCCCACTATATTCACGACTGGTACCAATATCGAATGATGTTGTCGAGAACTCATGGAACGTGTGTTTACATACGTGACTCTCGAACCAGTCGCTTCTTCCCGTAAACCGTAATCCATAATCCGTCGGCCATAATCTCGCTGTCAACAACAACGCGTCGCACGTGTGGCTTATGAACTGACGTCATGCGGTTTATATATAGTATATAGTATATTGTATGGGCAGAATCCGAATCAAGATCACAGTCATCCGACTGTTGTCAATGGTGCCAAGTAGTCTTATCACTCATCCAAATGCCATTTCCAATCTGATTCCATTGCAGCTCTTCGAGGGCATGAAGGCGTACCGCGGCGTCGACGGCAAGATTCGAATTTTCCGGCCGGACATGAACATGAACCGCATGAACCTGGCCGCCCAACGCTCCGGCCTGCCCACGTTCGAGGGCCCGGAGTTCGTCAAGTGTCTGTCCCGTCTGCTGTCCATCGACTCCGAGTGGGTGCCGCACACGGACACCGCCAGCCTGTACATCCGTCCCACGCTGATTGGCATTGATGTGAGTAGCTCCTTAACTGCTGGGATGTGAGATTTTTTGACCTGACCAACCTATGTATCTGTTTATCCGCTTATAGCCCACTTTGGGAGTGGCCTCCTCGGACTCAGCCCTGCTCTACACGATCCTCAGCCCTGTTGGCAGCTACTTCAAGACGGGCTCCTCGGGCGCCGTTTCACTCCTGGCCGATCCCAGCTACGTGCGCGCCTGGCCAGGCGGCGTTGGCAATCGCAAAATGGGCTCCAACTACGCACCCACCATCAATGTCCAGAAGGAGGCGGCAGCCAGGGGGCTGCAGCAGGTGCTGTGGCTCTACGGCGAGAATCATCAACTCACCGAAGTGGGCACCATGAACATCTTCATGTTCTACGTGAACGATCAAGGAGGTGAGTCCAGCCCAGGGAATGCCCTGCAAAACATTCTACAAGTTTTCTGTTTCTCTTGTTTTCCAGAACAAGAACTGGTTACCCCGCCGCTGAGTGGCCTGATCCTGCCTGGCATCACACGTGACTCCATCCTGCGCATGACCCGCCAGTGGGGCAAGTTCAAGGTGTCCGAGGCGACCATCACCATGCCCCAAGTCTGCGAGCTGCTCAACCAGGGAAGGGTAAGTGTGCCCCTTGAAGGTTTTCGCCGAGATCTAATCGGATTTCCTCTATCTTTTTACATAGCTGCTGGAGCTGTTCGGAGCGGGCACGGCGTGCGTGGTTAGTCCGGTGAACCGCATCAACTACCTCGGCCAGGACCTGTACATACCTACCATGGAGCAGGAGAAGCCCGTTCACGAGCTGATCCGCGACACGCTGACCGACATCCAGTACGGCAAGGTGGATCATCCGTGGTCGGTGGTGATTGACTAAGCTCTAAGCCTCGTTATCTGTTATCCTGTAGATCCTGTATGCCCCTACACCCTTCCCCCTACCCCCTTCCCCCCTCCCGTACCGTGTATTAGTAGGATTTAGTTGCCAAGCGTTTGTGGGTTGCCAATGTGCTCGAATTTGTTTCGTTTGTTGTGCATTTAGCGATATATCTATCTGCATCTGTCTATATAATATTTAGCGTAGCGTAGGAAGTCCAGATTTCACTATATGCGATCGTTTAAGTTGCATTTAAATGTGTATTTATTTATTTATATGTCAGGAATTCGAATTGTACATAATTCCCAAACTTACCACGGTTCAATGTTAACGGTTAGTTTTTTTATTCTCTTTATTTTGTATAATATTTTTAGTTTTTTTGTCTTTTTTTTTTAATTTCTATACTATTTTTTTTTATTTTGTTTTCTTTCTGCGTAATCTGTTTCTTTTAAGCTGTGTGCATGCTTATGAATCGTCTTTTTGCGCTTTTACTTCCAAGCAGCGTCGACAGCAAAGCAAAATTACAAGAATTAGTTAGGAAATTTCGGAAATGGAGCGAAGTTAGAAGGAGAGTAGATCCAAAAACAAGTTGAAAACGTACCGGAGGCGAATGCATTTATTAGTGAGTAAGTGATCGAGGTGTGTTCTTGGAGGTAAAAGCGGCACGAGAGGAGCAGCAGCAGTCGGCGGCTGCGAGCTGTGACTAAAGCTAATCTATACCTGAACCTGTCAGTAGAACTTAGGCCTAGGCTGTAGACCTAACCCCAACCGAATCAAGCTGTATACTATATGTACCAACTTTAGCAGTTAAGTGAATCCATTTATTCCACAACGAATAAAATATGATAAAACCAATTGTTGTGTCTCTTAATATTGTTATTAAAATTAATTGTTATATTATGTTTAAAACTTAAAGTCGTATTTTCTAATTACACCCTTACTTGGGGATATTACAAATTAAATTTAACATTGCGCAAAATTCTCTTGAAAATGTTACTAGGCAAGCGCTCCTCGAAACATGTTGAGCAACATCCATTGGTGCTGTCAACATGGCGATGTTGCTTCGGTTGAGAATGCACAGCAACTTTATTGCTAACACATGTTCATATAAAAATATACTCTTTATTGAAAATCTTGGCCGATAGCGAAACAAATCACATATTATTCTCACACGACTAAATCATTTAGCTGCCATAGGAACGATCATTGGTTAATGAAGAGAAAAATGAAATGTATTATTATAATTTAAGGTTTTCTTATTTAGAACAAAAAATACATTAATTTTACTGCCAAATTTAAATTTAAATTTAAAATGATGATTAGTCGCGACATATAAAAAAATACATAAATTTGATCGCCAAACACTTGCTGCTGCTGGGCGCCTTGTTGCGTTTTCTGCTTGCCTGGTATATTTATTTTATTTATATATGTATGTCTGGCTAAAGCTCACAGTTCTAACAAAGAGCAACGATTAAAATAACTCAAAACCCCAAAAGAAAACAACATATGTTGTTGTTGTTAAATGCATTTATTGTAAGAATATTGTTTTTATTGTTGTAGAAAAAACAAGGCTTCAATTTGGACATTTTCAGTACAAATTCATACATTTCTGGGAGTCAAGTAACAGGCGAACAGAATCAGCAGGAGGTGGATTTACATTGGTGCAAATCAATATTTTCACTCAATGTTAATACTTCCACTCATTGCTTTCACTCCTCGCCACAGATCGGCTCATCTGTGTTCGAAAGTTATTCGAAACGGAGAGACGGACCAATAATGAAAGCGGGAGAGCAGCGGTTAGCATAACTCTTTGACTCAATGGATTTTCAGAGCTGCAAGTGACCTACGGTCTCCGCTCTCCTGCTCTTTGTTCGCCAGTTACGGTCTTCGCGGATTTAGAGAGCCGAAATGAGTGCACAGCGTTGTTTTTACTCAAATTCAACATTCCTCACTCATTGCACAGATCAGCTCGCTGACTCTTTGAGCGCAACGATTAAAATAACTCAAAGACCCAATGAAAAATAATAACTGTTGTTGTTGTTAAATGCATTTATTGTAGGAATATTGTTTTTATTGTTGTAGAAGCAACAAGGTTTCAATTTGGACATTTTCAGTACAAATTCATACGTTTCTGGGAGTCAAGTAACATGCGAACAGAATCAGTAACAGGCGAATTTACATTGGTGCAAATCAATATTTTCACTCAATGTTAATACTTCCACTCATTGTTTTCACTCTTCGCCACAGATCGGCTCATCTTAGTTCTACCGTTCTGTGTTCGAAAGTTGTTCGAAACGGAGAGACGGACCAATAATAAAAGTGGGAGAGCTGCGGTTACTATAACTCTTTGACTCAATGACTCTTTAGGAGCAACGATTAAAACAACTCAATTTACCGAATTGCTCAGAGCTGCCGTCAGCTACGGTCTTCGCTCTCAGGCTCTATGCTCGCCAGTTACGATCTTATGGGAATCAAAGAGCAGAGATGAGTGCAAGGCAAAAGTCGCACTCAACGACGATTGCACTCGGATCAGCGCATCAGTTCACATTCACTCTTTTGCTGTTTGTTTCCAAGTTTCTCAAAATTGAGAATATAGCAATTTATTCTACAATATTCGGGGAACTATGAAAAAGAATGTTTTTGTTGTAAAACTGTGTTGTTGTACAACAGTTTTATTGTTGTTGTAGCCAAAAGCCCGACTTCAATTTGTACATTTTCAGTACAAATTCATTAACTGCTGGGAGCCAAGTACCAGGCGAACAGAATCAGTAGGAGGTGGATTTTCTTTAGTGCAAACGAATTTTCCACTCAAATTTCGATATTTCTCTGATACGGTATTCGCAAGTAATGGGTTGCACTCATCTTTACTCTTTAATTTGCGTAAGACCGTAACTGGCGAACACAGAGCAGGAGAGCGAAGGTCAGCAGCACTCGCAGCGCTGAGCGGAATCGTAATTAAAAGAATAAATAACGTGCTCTTAACTTTGCTGCTTAATTCCCCGAAGACCGTAACTCACGAACATAGAGATGAAGAGTGAAAATGAGCTGATGCGCAGCTCATAGTTAATTGAGTGTAAGTAATATCGTAATTTGAGTGAAAATATTCGTTTGCACAAACGTAAATCCACCTTCTGCTGATTCTGTTCGCCTGGTACTTCACTTCCAGAAATGTATGAATTTGTACTGAAAATGTCAAAATTGAACAATAAAAACAATATTCCTACAATAAATGCATTCAACAACAACAGTTGTACTTTTGTATTGGGTCTTCCTTCCTGACGACCCAAAGGCTATTTAATTAAACACTCATTTTGAATTTTTGTATTTATTATTTTCGTTTCTTACATTTTCAATTTCGTTTCCGTACATTTTGAATGCGTTTATTAAAACTCGTAATTTTGTTTTTTTTTTTTAGGATCAGTTTTGTGTTAAAAAATGAAAGGCTAACAATCTTTTAAATGAGCTCTATTTGCTTGACATAAAACGTGTGTATGTGTTTTATTTTATTGTTAACGTAGTACTATTAAATATATTAAATTTTTTTTTTTATTGCTGCTGCTCATAGTTTTTTTTTTACTTTTTTTCTGTTTTCAATTACCAGAAGTGTTAATTGTGTTTAATTGTTGAAATTTAAAATCGAAAGGTACAATTTGTGGTTAATATTGATTTTGAAGCATTTGACATCAACTTGATTTAGTTAGTTTATAACTGGCTGTAAATTTATCCCTATTCGTTACGAAAATTGGCAAATTAAATTCGTTTATGCACCCAGCGAGTGATCAGTTAATAAAAGGCAAAGAACCCAATGGGAATTGCTTGAATAGATGAATGCTGTGTCTTTTGATTAAATCGGTTGCTTAGTTTTAAACAATAACAAATGCCGTGTCCTCTCAAATGCCATTAAATGAAAATCGATCTCAAGGTCAAGGACAGTGTCCCAATGTCCCAAAGGGGGCAGAAATCACATTGGAATTAAAGTTAGAGGTGTACTATACTAAGTTGTTGCTAAAATCCTATCCTAGGGGCTGCGGCAGTGTTCCAAAAACCACTTTTGTTAACTGGCGTGCTTGCTTGGTGAATGAATAAAGAAAATAAATCTCCATTGGTTTCAAATCCCTGAAAAAAAATGTAACTTAAATAAAATAAATTAAAATTTTTATTGTGTTGAAACTAAATCGTTAAAGTCTCTTTTTCTATCAAGTTTCTGCGTGTTTAATATCCAATGTGATTTCCACCACCCCCAAACCTAATGTTTAATTGCAAATTGGGGTCTTAAGGGACGAGCTAAGAGAAGCCTTGAAAGGCTGCCTAAAAGTATGCTTTGATATTCAAGCAAACTTTCAGGAACCTTTCCAAGGCTACACCAACCCAATATACATAACGGAACTTCGTTGTGATTTCTATATTATTCATTAAAGTAACAATAACAAAAACGAAATGATGCCTCAGGTTATCGGGGAAAGATGGGGGATCGTGTCTATATAGAGATTGGTATATGTATAACAAACTTTCCTTGCTTAGCTTGAGAGAGAGTGAGAGAGATATATAGATAGATAGAGAGAGAGAGAGAGAGACTGAGTGAGTGTGTGTCTTGCGTGTGACCGAGTGAGTGAGGGAGAGAAATGCAATGGGTGTCCTTAATTGTTGTTGCAATTTTTCAATGCAGCCCTCGCAGCGTTCCGTTCTTAATTTTCAACCAATTTTATATTTGTATTTGAGCTTTAACAATTGTCAATGATTTCCGTTTCCTATTCGGCTTAGTTCTCCTCCCCATAGATTATATAAACAAATTTAACATTATATGCATGCTCGTTACGTTTGACTTGATTTGGATTTTGCTAGCTGCAAATATCAATATATATATATACATATACATACATATATATATATATCAATATATATATATACATATACATACATACATATATATATATATATATATATCAATATCAATCAATTGTTTACTTTTACATAATATCCTTTACCTTTCTTGTAGACTGCAATTACCTTCTCGCATTCGCCTTGCTATGAATGTATATTTTCATTATATAGGTGTATAATTAGGCTATAAATATTTGATTCTCCGAATGATTCCTCCTTCTGTCAAAATGTGGATATCCAAATAAATTGGTAATTATAACTACAAAAATTTAAAAGTGAGGCTGAACTCGGCTGAACTCTGGCTCCGGCTAAAATCGTCCCTGACTAAAGTCTAACTGAGCGAGAAATCATCGTGGGACCCACAACGATCGCCTGGGAATTACAATATATATAATATATAATTTGGTATTACGTCTATTACTGATACGCTACTGGGTATCGCTATGAGGTTGCATCTACTCCGCATGCAACTAGTACACTTCCTCCTCCTGCTTACCGACTATGTTCATAAGATATATGTAGAGTCGCGTGAGTGTGCGCTGCCCCTGGAGGCCCGAGCTGGGCCGAGTACCGAGATGCTAAACAAATGCGTCAACAATTCACTGATCAAAATCGAAATAATTTTTGGATTTTACGGTTGGCTCGCTTGGTCGGCTCGCCTCACTAGCAACGCTTTACAATTTGGTTTCGAGTGCTTTTTGGGTTCGTTTGGGGTCCTGGGCTTTCTGCGGTTTTCTAGGCCTTGAACAGCTGCGGAAACTCGTTGGCTATCTCCCGCACCAGCTGCTGATCGGAGGCACTGCACTCGGTCTCCTCGCAGAAGATGCGCGTGAAGATCTTCATGAGGTCGTGCTTGCGGTGCTGGTGCTCCTGATAGTTCGTGTTGCGCAGGATGCGGCGGCACAGCTCCAAGTAGCAGGGTCGCGTCTGCAAGGAATACTGCTAAGTGTTGGGTAGACTTTTAAGATAACTCCAGACTCTCACCGAACTTCCCGCATCCAGGTCGGAGAGCTGGCGCACCACAATGTCGATGAGCACCTTGATGTCGTTCGTGTAGAACATGCCGGCCGTGTCCGGATGACTGAATATGTCGATGAACATGCGCAGCACCGTGTTCATGTGCTCGTTGGGGTGCTTGAGCAGGCGCGTGGGATCGTCTGAGGATTAAACGAGGTCACATTAATACCAAGCACATATTTCCTTTTGGCCAGAGTTGGTTAAATTGCATTCTATTCTTAAGGCTAGATCCCACATGCCGGGTGACTCACCCTCCCGATTGAGCAGGAGCAGCAGCTTCTCCGTGAAGACCTTGGCGGAGGGCAGGTTCTGCATCGCCTCGATGATAACGTTGAAGGTGTGCTCGCTAAACTGCTGATTGAAGGCCAGTATCAAAGCAATGACCATGTCCACCAGGTGCTCCGGGTTGTTGCCCTCGACAATCTCCAGCAGGAAGCTGGCAAAATGCACGCCCAAATAATCTGCAAAGCGAATCCATATATGGGTTCTGCCGAGAGAGAATTAGTGACCAAATCTCACCCTGATGGTTCACCGGCATGGGCTGTCCGAGCGAGAAGATGATGGTCAGCATCTTGACCAGCTGCTTGAAGCGATCCAGATTGGAAAAGTGCGTCTTCATGTCCTCCACCTGAGGGGGTTTAGGTTTCAAATTTAAGCAGGCTTCCTCTTAAAGGATTTCTTCTTACAATCTCCAGCGGCAGCACTGACGTCAGCAGTATGTCCACGATAATGTAGTCCAGGTGGCAGGCGGCCGTAAAGGTCTTCAGCAGCAGGCGCTTGATGGACCAGCGTGTCTCCATCTGATAGTACTGGACAAGGTTGATGAACATCTGGTACTGGTCGCAAGACATCTCATAGCAGCTGATGTTCTCATCAGCGTTGTTCTGCGGCAAATTGATGTTACGGGTTGACCATGTTGCCATAGGGTTTTCACACTTACCAGAATCTCGACCAACTCCTCGAGGAACTGTATTATGTCCTCCTCATCCTCGTACAGCATCCAGGTTCGCTGCTCCGTGTCGTTCTTGCAGTCGGCCAGCTGGGCGAAGAGGTACTGCAGTCGCTTGGCGTCGTGGGTGATACCTAGGAGCTCCTTGGGTGTGGCCACCTTGCCGGTGACATGGACGGCCACTGCCTCCAGGTACGGATTGATGGCTCCGTTATACAGCTGCTCCAGGCTGGTCAGTACCACGCGCAGAGCCTCGCAGGATAAATCAAAGCTGAGGTTGGTGTTGCGCCGCAACGCATCCACGATCTGATACACATCCGAGGACTCAACCTTCAGCTGTCCGCGTGCATAGTTAGCTGCGCTGTTGCTGCCGCCAGCAGCTCCTTCCTCGACTGACCTGCCGCCCCGTTCCCGGTGAGATGGACTCTCGATGCTGTCCAGCGCCTGGCTATTGTCCGCACTGTCACCGTTGGCCTGACACCCGTCGTCGCTGGGAACGGCGCTCGCGTCATCCGACTTGTCCGGCGCACTGTCCGCCTCCTCTGGCGGTAAATCCTGATGCAGGGCTCCCGTGCTACCCCTTCCGCCGCTGCCGTTGCCGGCACTTCGCACGGCCGAAGCAGAGGCGGAGGCAGATATGGAGGCAGACGCCGTGCTGCCATTGAGGGGCTTGTGTTGGCTGGTGCTCATCTGGCTGGTCTCTTTGTAAGTGGTCACCACGTCCTCGCTGGTCGTGGTGGTGGTCGTTGTCGTCTCCGACGGCTCCGAAGTGATGCTGTTATCCTGCGCCACATCTCCGGCCGTCTTGGCAGCAGCTGTTGTGGGCGTGGCAGGAGCTGGAGCTGGGGTGGGAGCCGGCGGTGCTGGGAGCGGCTGCTGTTGCTGTGGCGTCTGGATGGTGCAGCTGCTGCCATGAAACTGCATGCTGCCCATGCTGGGGGACTCCACCATGCCCTGGCTGGACGCGGGACCGCACGAGGATCCCACCGCTGGACTGGACATGCTCTTCTTGCTCATGTCCAATCGCTGGGATCCGCCGCCACTGCCACCGCTCGCCGGCGGACTGTGCTGCCGGTGGTGCTGGGAGTGGAGCTGAGTCTGGGACTGGGCTGGGTGGGGATGCGAGTGCCGGTGGCTGCCCTTGTCGCTGTAGCTGTGCGAGTACGACAGCGAGGAGTCGCCGTCGCGCTCAGAGCTCTCCTGGAAGGGCAGAGAAAAGATATGAATGAAGTTTCAGGAAGGATTCGGCCTTCATCATTATTTGCATCTCACCGCATAGAGCCGCTCCATGGTGTGCTTCTTCTCGCGCAGCCTGTCCAGCAGCTCGTCCTTGGACATGATGCCATTGATCTCATGGTCCGTGCACTTCTCCAGTGACTCGATCGACGAGTTCAGAAAGCTGATGAGGAAGTCGTGCTCCACCTGCCACGGTTAGACGACAGCTTTAGATGAGTCTCAACTCGAACCTTGGCTCAGCGCCAGCGTTACCTTAATCTTCATTACGTAATTGGAGGGCACGAACCCGATGTTGCCCTTCATGCTGACCACCTGCCACCAATTGCGCTGGCGGGCGGAGGTCTGGTACAGGATGAAGTATTCGCCCTCATCGAAGCTAATGGTCTTGGGATAGACCGCCTGGAAGTCGTACAGCGCCTTGAGCATCTCGATGCCGATGGTGCCGCCACTGCCAATACCAATGCCAATGTCAGCTCCGCCAGTGGGGCCACCTATTCCTGCTCCCCCGCTGCTGCCTTCGCTTCCTCCGTTACCTGCGGGCGATGTGGGAGCTGCTGCTGTTGCTGTTGCTGCAATTATTGATATATAAAGGATATATAGGATATGCTTAAGGCAGAACAACTTTCGGATGAGGGCGTCGCCACTCACACTCACACACACTCGCAATCGACACGGGAAAAATCGGAGAAAATCGGCGGGGCAGAGAAATGGGGAAATAGAAAGGAGGAAAAACTGCAGTGGACTCTTAAAGGAGTTGACGACTGCCTGCGCTTTTTTCACGACACTGCACTGAATCGGACTGAACTGAAGTGGACAGGACAGAACAGAACAGAACTGGATGCCACTGCAGTGCAGGAATCCGTGAAGCAACTCGGAAACAACGGCGTAACAATGGGCGGCGGGAGAAGGCGGAACTTTAGACCAGCGCTCCCACACGGAAAGAGGAAAATGCAATTTTCATATTTCACTCGCATTCGCACTTTCTCCCTGCCTCTCGCCTTCTTCTCACTCTCTCGCACTCGCAGGTCCTGCAACAACGCCTTGCGCTTTTGATCCTTTTCAGCTTACATTGTTTTACCCGCACTGACACACGCACACACACATACACGACGAGTATACAGGAGAGGCACGTGTGCTCTCTTCGCCGTTGTTGTTGCTGTTGCCGTCGCTGCGGAAAACTGTGTGTGCGAAAATCTCAACACGGAAAAATCCTTTTCAAAACACAACGCCCCCTCTCGCTCTCACTCTTGCTCTCTCTCTACGCGCGCGCGTCCTTTTGGCCACTCTCAAGCTTTTACTCGCTATGTCCCTCTCTCCCGCAGGTCCAGTCCTATCCTTAAGAGAGCGGAACTAGTTCCACTTAAACATGTCGCTTCAAGTCCAGCCACCAGGCAAAATCCTGGACTCCATACCCCTAAGCATTAGGGTGTTCTTAAGGGAATTATTAGATACCATATGGATTTGATGATTTCAATAGATTCTATTCAATTCTAGAGCTTACCTTGGAACTGCTTAAAATTTGGGTGGATTTCCAGGTTAAAACAGAAACCACGTAACTAACTCAAATTCTATTATAGCAAGGCCCCAATAATATACAAAAGTTCATCAAGGATCACCAGTAAATCTTCTAATATTTTTTAAAAGCTTTGAATTTTTCTATAATTATCATTTACCAGGTAATTGCGGTTTCATTTAAAACAAGGATTGATTGGCCCACACTTTAGGGATTTGCAATCTATTCCATACTATTTTTTTTAGTAGGAGCCGTAGGAACCTCTGTTACTGATTTCGGAACTTGTCAACGGAAGGCACCTGCTAGACTCTCATACCCATACTCGCACCTCAACTTTCACACACAAAACACACACACGTTGTTAAATGAAAAGGATGTATGGAAATGTGACACAATGGGAAGAATAAGAGGGGAAAAACGAAAGAACAACAGTCACCCGCTCTCCAGCCCACTTACCCATCTTTTGGGAGGCGCACCTTTTACTGTAATTGTGTGTCGTCGGATGTCACCTGTCCCTCTGTGTTCTTCTTCTCCTTCTGCTTGTGCTCCTGTTTCCGCCACAGCCAGTGCCACTTCCCCAAGGACGTTTGCATATACATATATCGAATCGGGCGGTGGGTTTCTTTGCTTTGCTTTCCTTCACACCTTCCTCCTCCGCCTCGTTCGGATGGGCGTATTTGCTGGCTACCCTTTGTGCTCCGTTTCGTATCCAATGTCCTGCGGCTGCTTGGTGACACTCGGGTTGCTCAGTTTCGCCGTTCCGCCATCACTTGTTGTTGTCCCTGTTGGCCACCGCCCACGAATGCCAGTCCGTTCGTCCGTAATTCACTTGATTAATTTTGATGCTGCCGCTCGTCGAGATGCACTTGTTTCCGTTTTTACCGTTTTTCCAGTCTATCTATCTCTGTCTCCGGAGCCTTCGTGTCTCTCGGCTTGCTTCTCTCGTACTGTCGTCACACACACACACACACACACTACTACATAACTAATGTTTCAAGTGTTTTGTATGAATATAGGAAATGCATAAAAAGGATAAAAGACAAGTTGCTGATTTTGTTGTTATTGTTGCTGCTGCTTCCGATAAGAAAAGATGACGGATCAAAAAGCCGCACAATACACACTCACACACAAGCGTTTGTATACACAGGGCTAACGGTGGCTAGAGTTTGTTTTTATTGGCAAATAAGCACTCTAACAATTTAATAAAAACAATACGGTTAAACGCACTTAAATTAGCCGTCATAATTGTTTTAGATCGAACGAAATACTAGTTAGTCTTTGGCAGTATGGCCCCCGAGAGATCAACAAACAAACATTATCCAATCACTTGTTTTTGTTTCTCCCTTTTGTTGCTTTCCCATGATTAGACAATGGCGTAGACACGAGCCCATGAAGGGGGTTTTAGCTTTCAGGGAGAAAGACTTCTTATTCTAGCTGAAACGTATAGAACATAAAATAGGCTTTTAATAATGTACATGATCTGTGCCATAAAAAAAAAAAAAAAGAAATGTGCAGCTCATTTAATAAACAAAACCTTTGTAGATACATTTTAGCCCCGAACCCCCCTTAAAAGCCACTGCCAGCCCCATAGCTAGAGGTGAGACACTAGCCGGTTGGTCCAATGTGTTATCGTTATCGCTCACCGACATCCGAGCTGCCAACTTGCGGATCAATTCAAATAAATAAGAATTTCGGTTTTGGTAGCTTGTGTGTTTCTCGCAAAACGTTTTTTATTTTTTATTTTCATTGAATAATTACGTTGATGTGGCGACAGTACATAGTGTTGAGGCGGGTCTATGGGTTTTTATCAAAATACTGTTTGGAGGAGGGCAAGCAAATAAATGGGTCCGTGTTTATCGTTTGTTCGTTATAAAAAAGATTAATTAAATGCTGAAAAATCTTACAAATTGGCTGGCAAATCTTGTCTAAACGTTTTGACTGTGTATATAGTAGTTTACATGTGGTGTATATATATATAGTTTTGATTGGTTATAACTGTTGTGTCGTCGTCGTCGCTCCAATTCTCGCAATTTGCTATTTAGTCTAGACTAACTTTTCTAACTCTCATAACGGCAACTAGGTATGCATAAGTACAGTTTCTCATTTCGTTTTCGAAGGCAATTCATGAAAAGTCCCTAAGTCCGAGCTCACATCGATGGCCTTGCTTTTTGGGTATCTTTAAATATATATATAGTGTGTAAAGTATATCGCTTTATATCGTACAGTTAAGATTCAACAATGTTTTCCGTTTATTTGCTTGCTTGTGGTCACAATAAATCATAATAATCGTATCATAATAGAGAAACAATCACATACACAATAAATTATAATAGCACAAGAGTTTCTCTCACTTTAGTGTTTCTTTTCTTTTTATCCTTATCGTATCTAGGTTTAATAACAGCAGGCCACTTTCGTAGGTGTGTTTGCATGTGTGTGTGGGTGTATATATCTATTAATAAAAAAAAAATAAACAACTTTCCATTGTACTTGCATTTATAAGAATAGGAATAATAAATATATATATTTTATTAAACGAAAACAAACAGAAAGACGCTTTTAACCTTGCCTCGCTTTTTGAACTATGTATTCTCTTTTCTCTTTCCTATTTTCCTCCATCTTCATCCTTTTTCCCCCTCTTTTTTTAGGTCTTGTGGAACGGCACTTGGTTGAGATTTATGTTGTTGTAGCTTGTTGATTTTGTCCGGATCCCTTGGGAGGACTCTATCGCGACAGACATGGCTCGGCTTTGTTGCCCCTTGACCATTCCGAATGTCGCTGCTCCGAAACTCCGCTTCTGCCCAAATCCCCAGCATCTCCTTACTCCTTGCTTTTCGCTCCTTCCTGCTTCCTGGCTTTTTCTGGCGACGCTCGGGCCGCAAAAACATTTGTCCACAATTAGGATATGGGTGCACGCTAATTGTTAATCGTTTAAATTATGCTATAAAAGTAATATTGATAAATGTTGTTGCTCCGCGCCGCTGCATTTTCGATCCGTTCCGCTCCGCTTCGCTCCGATCTTGACATGCCACTAATATAAGCACCTCAAACGGACCCACAAAACCCGAATCACATGCGCCGGCCACCGGCGGCCGGCTGCGTTGGACGCGTCCGCAGCGCGCTCCTCGATCATTTCTCCTCGCAGCAGCCGCCGTTCTTGGCCAGCTGCTTCTGCAGCGCCGGTGGAATGAAGTCTTTCGTTTTGGTCTTGGAATGATAGCCCTGGCCGAGCAGAGCCGGCTCCACGTGCTTGCCCTCCTGGATGCCCTGGATGCGCTTCAGTAGATCGTAGTTGATGCGCTCACTGACCACGGAATCTTGCCTGCAACAGCGAATACGTTTACGGGTTAGTTGATCTGTAGAGCGTGTGGTGTTTAGTGTTAGTACTCACTTGTAGTCCGGGTGGTTGAGAACCTGCTCCCGCATCCAGGTGGCCGTGGTAATCAGCTCGCCGGCGGCGCGCTTCTCGATGAAGCGCAGATACTGTTCAATGGTGCAATGGGTGTCGGTGTCCACTTCCATGGACTGCAGATAGCTGCGGATGAGCGGCACCAGACCAGGAAAGACATTGGTCTGTGAAAAGCAAAGAAATTCAGGGTTAATTTCTGTTAAAAATTTGTCTAGAATTACAGCTTACCTTTCCGTTGAAGATCTCATTGATGGAGAGCAGCTGGAACAGCTCGTTCTCCTCATCATCGGTGTCGGTGTGGTCGCTGTCCGTGCCATTGCCGGAGCCGTTGGTGGCGCTACCGTTGGTGGTAATGCCATTGGTGTCGCCATGTCCATGTCCGTTCATTTTGGCGGATCCATTGGTTAGCGGCTGTTCCTCCTTGTCGACGTGGTCGATGCCGTTTCCGTTTCCATTTCCGTTAACCGCCAGCCCATTGCCATTCTCGGAGGCGACACCTCCTCCTCCTCCATTCAAGGTGGCCTTGCCATTGGTCTGGGCATGAGCCTGAGCTTGAGCCTGCGCCTTGGCCTTGGCTGCACGCTGCTCGGTGGTCTTCGAGGATTTGCGGAACCAGAACTTCTCCTTGCGGCAGGCGTCGCGCTTCTGGGCCGTCTGCATATTCTCGTCCACCTTGCTGATCGGCGTGAGGAAGTTCAGCTGGTAGGAGAGAATGACGCGGGTGAGCAGGACCACGAAACAGACGATGGCCGCGTTCTCAAAGTCACTGATCTGGGCCTCGCAGGGCCGGAACTCGACGCGCCAGCCGATGGAGCTGTTGGGCGGCGGCGGCTTGAAGCGCATCGTCTGCCAGTTGGTGGACTGAATATTTTCAAAGTGGTCCGTGTCCTCGTTGTCGTTCTGGTGCACCTTCTCGCTGAACAGCGACACCGTGTCGCGGATGAACAGATGGGCCACATGCTGGGCCAGCAAATGATCAATACCACCATCCACCAGGCGCTGATACACAGCCTCGTCGTAGGTGAGCGGCACATCGTTGTACTTGGCCCCCTCGGGTGACAGGTACGAGTCAATGGAATCGTATCGCGACTTGGCGATGCGGAACTTCTGCTTGTCCAGCGGCACCAGGCCGCGCTCTTCCTCCGTGCGACAGTCCACCGACGAGCTGATCACGTTCCAGCGACAGTCCGACTCGGTCAGGTAGCCCCTGTAGATGGGCGAGGCGGCCGTCAGGGCCAGCATGATGGGGCACAGCGGCGCCAGCTGGTCGTACAGGCGACGCGCCTCCGTGATGTTGCAAGCCTGGAAGGTCAGCTGCAGGCAGCAGCAGCCCATGCCGAAGCCCATGGCGTCCAGCAGTACCACATCCGGCTCCCCGGGCGGAGCACCCTCCACCGGCAGCTTCGTCTTCACATCCTTGAATACTGCCAAGGTAAGTAGTTTTCAATTAGTTTTCAATATTTTTGTGGGGACACAATCTCAGCACACTTACCCTTTAGTTTGATGGACACCTTCTCGCCACGTCGCTTACGAATGTTCCGGGTGAGGGTCTTGAAGCGCGGATGGCCTGGGAAAATGGCCTCGTCCGGGAAATAGAGGGAGCGAGCCGAGCTTAGGGGATCCTCGGGACGTGGCTGGGCAAGGGGCCAGGTGAAATTGCGGGCGCCCAGGCGCGGAAAGTTGGTGATGGACATGACGCACTCGTCCTTGGCCAGCAGTTCGGTGACCTCCTCGCGGCGATAGCGCATATTGGCCTCCACCAGGTTGAAGTGAGCCATCAAACCGCCAAAGGGTTTGCCGGGAGTGCCCTCAATCATGTAGGCACCATACTCTGGTCGCCACAGCGACTTGACACCCTTGGGATCGGCCAGCTCCTTCTCGTTAAGCTGCTCCAGCAGATCTTGGGCGCGGAGCGCCACACGTGCCACCTTTTGTTCATCATCGAACTTAACAATGATGTACTCCACCTCATCGCCCCACTTGAGTATATCGCCCTGGCGATCCTTCAGTCTGTGGTACAAGTTGATGAACTGATTGATGCCATGCTCGCGGACATGGTTGGCCAGCGCCTCGGTCTCCTCCCAGGAGAGTGGACTGCCCTCGCTCAGTAGACCCATGGTGCTGCAAGAAGAGCCGAAAAGTGGCGAATTAGTGTTTTGTGTGTGTTGGAATTTTGCCGATCTGGAGTGACGTTTGAGCGACTACTACGCCATACTGTAGACTATATCTACATATTGTGCAATCGGCAGCGTCGTCGCATTCGAGGCATAGAAAAAAGTGCAATCGATGCAGTTGCACTGGGTAATTGCATAAACAATGTGACACGGAGAGAAAAGGGTGGCCAGAACAGACGGAATTTCAGCTCTGATTCCCACACAATCAGAACTTGAGATTGTTTTGATTCCAAAAGTCTTATCAACAAAATACATTAAATAAATATAAACACTGGCAAGTGGGAACTATTGAGCCTCAAGGGTTATTTCTTAAGGGTTTATCACTTGTGTTTACTCAAAGATATATTTAAGCAAGTTAAGTAAATAAAAGCCAACAAGTAGACACACATTTCTCCCTGTGCAAGCACGCTTAACACTTCGGCGACAGTCAATGCCCCAACATTCCGTTGCTCCACCTCCCACGAATTCCCCGAATTGTTGGCGTTAATTATCTACGTAATGTCTTGGAATCGATACAGGTAGAGAGAGGCAGACACAGGTACCTGCTCCTTGGTCTTGACACTCGCACAATTTACAACATTTGACTCAATTAATTGATAAGCGCGACGACCAAATATTAATCAAATAATTGATAAGGCGAGCACCTTTTTTCGTTCCGACTCGCCGCTGTTATTGGGTATAATTCCACACACATGTGCCGCGATCGCATGCACAATATAATATATTTTAAGTATATACATACATATATATATGTATGTATATAAATATATATATTTGGACTGACCAACGACA